GGCCAGTCACAGTGTCCGCGGGGCTGAGTGCCAGGGATCGGTCCACCTCCCTTCACCACCGTCTCTGGGGTGATTGCTTCATCTCAGCCAAGGGCTTTATTCCAGAGAGCGTGGTTCCTGGGCTGCCATGTTTCCCAGGGAGTCAGCAGAAGAGGGGCACCGGGGAGCATGACGAGGCCTCCTCAGAAACGAGGTTCCGGGAGCGAGGTATCCTCAGAACCAAGCCCGAACCTTAACGGGGCAGGCCAGCTTCCCCAGAGTGTCTGCTGGTGCACTGTGGCTCCCCCGGAGCCGGGGTCAGGGTCCCAGAACGCCCTGGGGAGCCTGCTTGCCAGACCCAGCCTTCTCCCCTCCAAGCTCGGCCAGAACCTTCACCAGCAAACCTGAGAGGTTCCGGGGCAGGAAGGCCACCGCCTTCTGTTGCTGGTGCCTTTCCCTTTGGCGAAGGCGGGCCGTCCTCTTGGTCCCTGTGGTCCCAGTGGCCTCCCTGCTCGCTGGGCACTGCAGTGGTTCCCGCCCTCATCCGAGGTTGGCTGGGACACTTTGGCAAGGAGGGCGAGGGGACACATGGGCGGCAGAGCACCTGGCGGTGGACACCACGGAAGACGACGATTCCAGGGAGAACTTTATGTTCGAGTCAGATGCCCTCTTCCCCCAGAGTCTAGAGTCAAAATGTTGGACTTTGTTACTTTTTCGTTTATGGGAGGAAAATAGAAAATTCTCATTCTTAATTTTGTTCCTGAAATTTGGAGTCAGATGCCAGCATGTTCCATGTCACCACGGCACGCCTGGGCCAGCTAACGGGCAGCGGGCGGGCCTGACTCCCGGGGGGGCTGCCTGTGGAGCCTCCTGTGTGTCGAGGGGTGGGGGGGTTGTTTGTTTCATTGTGAAGCCAAGAGTGATCCTTGTGACAAAACTGGATGGAGTGTGCCTCCCATCTCTGTGTCTGTTTGGTGTGTCTGTCCCTCCGCACTGGTTAGCAGAGCCTCAGCCAGGTGGAGGTGTAGAGGGCGGGACCCCTCGTCTCTGGTTTCCTCCCTGGAGAGCTGCTGGCCTCCCGTCCCCTCCTCTGGTCCACTTGTGCCGCAATAAAGTCTACCTTCTGGACGTGCGCCTCCCTCTCCCTCGGGGGCCCTGGAGCCACAGGCCTGGCGCGGTGTGCCGGCTGCTTTCCCTGCTGGTTGTCAGACAAACCCAAAATATCAAGATGTGTGCTTTGATAAAAGGGAGAATAAGAAGATGTCCGGGCCTCTGGGTCCCCATCTTAGTCCGTTTGGGCTGCTGTAAGAAAATACCATAAACTGGGTGGCTTCCACTGTGCGAATTTCTTTGTCATGGTCTGGGGGCTGGGGGTCCCAAGATCAAGGGGCCAGCAGACTTGGTGTCTGGTGAGGGTGATAAGGGTCCTCTTCCTGGTTCGTAGTCAGCCGTCTTCTCGCTGTGTCCTCACGTGATGCGAGGGAGCTCTCTGGGGTCTCTCTTGGGAGGGCGCTGATCCCATTGGTGAGGCCTGTTCACGTCCCACAGGCCCCGCCTCCTGAAGCCATCTCATTGGGGTCAGGATGTCAGCATGTGAACTTGGGGACAAACAGGCCATAGCAGTTCCCCAGCCCAGAGTTTGATTTCCCAGTGCTGGTTCCATTTCAGAGCGGGACGCAGAGAGGACAGGCGTGGAGCTGAGGCCATCTCATCGTCACAGCCAGTGCCCGGGAGGCTGGGTCCTCGTGTGAGCCCTGAATCCCGGTCCGGCACTGACGTCTGGGGGCCTCGGGGATGGATTCTCTCCGGGCCTGTCTCCTCATCCTGGGGATGGGGACGGTAGGAGACCCTGACTGCTCACGGGGCAGCCGGAGGGTCCAGCCAGCTGATGATACGCATGGATGCTGTTGGCCAGCACAGTGACACCCCTGGTGGTTTTGGAGGTTTAAAGGTGAGGAAGGCAGAGGGCCCCCCACACCCAGGCAGGGGCAGAGAGAGCATCCCGACAGGCAGCTGCTTCTAGGAGCTGCCCCACAAGGGGCCTTCCTGTGCTCCTCGGGACGGTGCTCACGCCAGCTGTGCATCCAGACTCCTACTGGGGACGGTGCTTCTGCTTGTTCCTGGGTCCCTTAAAACCCCATTGCATAGGATCCTCCGAGTGGGCACAGCCAGCCACTAGGGTCAGAGGGCCACACAATTAGCCTTTCCTTAATTATAAACAGCTTTTCCCCACTTCCAGATGTCCTTGCGCCTCTGATCAGCAAAAATCAGACAACCTCCCAAGGAAGGCCATCAAACGGGGCCTCCACCATCCTGGAGGACCAGACCGCTCACCGCAGTGGCGACAGTTATTATCCCTCCAAATGCTTCCTGGCACTCATCTTCACCTGGTCACTTCATATGTTACAAATTCATCAAAAGCCAGAATTTGTAAGTGTCGGACATTTGGAGTTGACTGGAGGGTCCCAGTAGTGCAATTAATTGTGCCAAAGTTCTACAGGGCCACCAAAAAAATCCAAAAAGGTGGAGCTTGAGATGCTGATGGTGAGATTGAGAAACTGCTCTCAATGATGATCATGGCCACGTGACACCCACACGGCCGCTCCTTCACACAGAGGCACCCACACAGCAGAATCTCACTGCAGGATGTGCAGGTGTCCCCTCACTGAGTCCGGAGTCCCCAACCACGACATAAAAGTGCTCAGCAAACTCCCAAGTCACTGCTGCCTCTGTGCTGACGAGCCACCGGCCCGGCCCTCCTGGGCTGTGTGAACGGCCTTGTCTTGCATCCTTTATGGCCAGTCGGCCGGAGAGGGAGGTAAGTGCATGGATTTAAGACGACCTCCACCGCGTGAGGCAGCCCCAGGCGAGAGTGCAGACCAGGAGGACTCGATAAATCTGTGAGGTATGGATTTTCCTAAACCAAGGTAGAAACTGTCAGAACCCTAAGGTCCCTGGTGGATGGTGACAGCTTAGAAAAGGAGAGAAGCCCGTCCTGTTATGAAGAACAGGGGAAAGCATCGCAAGGAAGCCAGAAAACGAAACAGCAAAATGCCTCCTCTTGCCCATGCATTCTTGTGGCCATGCATGTTGCAGGATGTATGTGGGAGACTGCTGGACACAACCAAACCCATGGTGTATGGGACGGACAAACAATAGCCTGCAGGCACCACTGAAAAGACTCCTCGGGTACACCTAAGCGCCCCGTACGGTGTCTGCCTGCATCACTTCAAGGCACCCGACCGTCTTGGAGAACTTTAGAAATAAGTTGATAAAAAGGATGCGCGGAGTCCCCCATCTGACTCCTCTGCTCTGATGAGCCTCAGAACCGCGAGGAGCTGGCCGGGGGCTCAGCTAAGTGCTCACGGCTGCTGTGAAGCTGCTAGATTCCTGCAGAGCCTAAATTCCATCAGGCATCAAATTCCAGCGTGCTGAGTGCAGGCAGGGGAGGTGACAGGCCCTGAGAGAGCCGCCCCTTCTCTCTGAAGGTCACAGTCAGCCGTCTTTGCTCATCTTCTCCCTGAGCTCTGTAACGTTGGGTCACCTCCGAATGTGAGGACAGGAGGACAAAGGAGGCCGACTGAGAGGGGACGAAGCCGAGAACTAAGGGTTAAAAAATGTTCTACAGAGCAAAACCTTGGCACAGCTTTCTAACTGCCGCTGTGCACGCTCAGCATAATCAACTGTTGTTTAAAACTAAGCGGGTCGTTCTGTCCCTCCTTAGTATGGGAGTGAGCGTCATCCCAGGAGGTCAAGGTCCGGATGTCAAGATTCAGCCTCACAAGGCCAAAAGCGGGCTAAAGATGCAAACTAGCCGGAAAAGTCCAGACAGTCAAGGGAAAAGCAATTCAGTCTTCAAGGCCAAACGCAGGCTGGTGGGAAGGCACCAACCCGCAGGGCCACACAGCCCCCACCCCTACCTAAAACCCCGGCACGTGCCCCCTGCCCCTACCGAAAACTCCAGATAAAAACCCCTACCTTTTCCCTCCCAGGAGGTGACCTGAGTTCTAATTCCCACCTCCTCATCTGGCTGCTTTTCCTTGCCCCAGGCCTGGCATTTCCAGTTTGAGGCCCTCCCGTGTGGCAGGTACGCCAACCTGTGTTTGTGTTCGGCAACAGAGAGAGGCAGCAAATTCACGGCCTGCCGGAAAGCTGTGAGATCCCTAAATGTGAAAATTTTGCTAATTCAAATTAACTTATTCAACGACCAAAAACAAAATAAACAGGCAACGAGAAAGCCAGTGGGTTGGACCAGCCCTGGTCCCAGGAGGCTGCGCTGCAGAGCGCGGCCCAGGATGGGGGGCTAACAGCAGGAGAGGCGGTTGTCACTCCAGCCAGAGCCTCATGCAAGACCTCTGCCAGCCTCACTTCCTCCAAACAGCCGTCTGGAGAGGTTGTAAGTCACTTAATTCAAAGCTGGGGGTGACACCTCCAAATCTGGATGGGCCCAGACCAGGGAGGAGCTGCTGTCTCCTGGGTGGGGGCGCGGGCCCTATTGCCTCTGACATCCCCTCCCACCGACTGGGTGTTTGTGGGGCTGGCCCGGCAGGGTGAGGCTGGTGTGAGTGCTGGCAGGTCAGTCTGTGTCCCCAGCTCTGGGCGCAGCACCATCCTGCCCTCGGCCAGCTGCGGGCCCTGCCTGCATGTTGGCCCAGTCAGACTGTGGGCCCGTGCCCTTGAGCAGCCTGGGCTAAGCTTCCTGGAGGCGTGGGCGTGGGCAGGCCCTCCTCGCTCAGCTGCAGCCTGGGCCCCAGCCTGGTCTGTGCCGGCCGGGCAGCAGCACAGCCGCGTAGGCTCCGGGTCAAGCCTGGCCGCTCCTCGCTCGCTCACCAGTTTCCCCCTGCTCCACCCTGGGCTGGCCACCTCCCCTCCTGCGGGGTCTTGGGAGAGGCCCGAGGGGTAGGGAAGCCCTGGTGGGCCCAGCCTCGTCTGGATGACGCAGCCCAGACAGATCCAGCAGTAGGATGAGACCCATACCCTCCCCACACCCAGGAGTCCCACCCAAGTAAAAAGGCCACTGCCAAGAGGTGAGAAACTTTATTTGGCTTATAAGATCCCAGGTTCGAGAGTGAGCTCGGAGCAGTGCAGAAAGCAGAGGACGCCGTTCCCCGGCTGGGCTCAGCCTGGACCCCTGCTGCAGCCACAGGTGTTCCCCTGGGCTGAGACCCAGACAGACCAGCCGACCTGGTGGCCATGAAAGCATGAGGGCCACCACCACTGACAATGCCTGACTGGCGGTGGCCGCAGTCCTCAGAGGGCAGGACACCTTCATTCCGCGAGCCGTCGGCTACTGCGCTGGCCCTGGTTGTCCCGCCACACGCGGTAGTTGAGCGTGGCCGCAAAAGCCAGCCAGACCAGGTAGGGGTAGAGCAGGCGGGCAGCCGGCGGGCTCACGTCCTGCCAGGCCACGGCCGTGGCTGCTGCCATGCCCCCCGTCAGCAGGAGGTCCACCAGGGCCTGTGGAGACACGGAGGCCTGGGGCTCAGTGCGCCCATGGGGGTGTGTCCCAGCTGCCCTCCATCTGCCCCTAAGTGACCCAGCCGAGCCCCTCCCCTGCTCTTGGCCTCAGTTTCCTCCCTGTAAAATGGGAGCATCACGCTGCCTGACCCATGCCGTGGGTGGGAGCGCACACCAGGTGTCATGTGGGTCTGCCTCTACAGGGGCCCCTAAACCCAAGCCGGTGACCCCATCCAGCCTCACTCAGAGCCCACACGGCTGCCTTCACTGGAGGGAAACCGCTGTGGGGGGCGCCCAGGGGGCACAGGTCCCCCAAGAGCCCCTGAAGACACACTGACGTGAGCTGTGTGCCTCCCTCGCCCCTACCCTTAGACCCTGACCCGTGTAGGATGTGATGCCCCATGTCCCCAAGGGAAGGCCACCCCTCCACGGGCCGTCTCCAGGGACCAGGGAGAGAGGCCAAGGCCACTTACCCAACCCATTTGTCGGGCGCCAAAGAAGATAGGCGGCCATGCCCAGTTCAGAGCCAGCTGCCCAATGTAGAGGCCCAGGGGAACCAGGGCCTCCTCTGAGAAGCCCCCCAGCTCTTTCCAGATCATGTAGGAGCCGTACCTGAAACAAAGGCCACGGGTCAGGGCATCAGTGAGGAAGAGGCCAGGAGCCTCCCTGAAGGGCAGGGAGCCACGCTTACCTCTGGGACAACACAGTGATGGCTCAAGCATGCCCTGCCATGGACTACCATGTGACCTCAGGGAAGTTGCTTGACTTCTCTGGGCCTTCATTTCTCACAGGGTCTCTCTGGGGATTCGAGCTAACACATCAGCAGTGCTTAAGCCGGTGCCTGGCACATGGGACACTCCATAACTATTTTCCATTATTATCATCATCAGTGCTGTGAAGGGGGGACTGAGTGAAGAGGAGGATGCTAACCCAGCCAGGGGCACTGCAAAGAGGACGGGACATTTGGGCTGGGCCTTAGAAGATGAGTAGGAGTTTGCCAGGGGGCAGAAACAAAGATATGCCAAAACTTAGAGGCAGGTGTGGGACCCTGAGTCAGCCTGTGTGACTGCAGGGAGGTGAGGCCGCAGAAGAAGATGCGGCCTGGTCATGGGGGCTCTTAGGACCACAAGGGCAACAATAACACCATCAGTAATAATAGCTGACACCCTCCAGCACTGACATGCCAGGCCCTGCTCTAGCTCTTTCCATGCATTGACTCATTTCATGCTCATGGTAACACTGAGGTGGGCAGCAGCATCACCTCCATTTCACAGGTGAGGAAACTGAGGCACAGAGAGGCGCAGCGACTGGCTAAGATCTCCTAGTAGGTAAAGTCAGGATTGGAACCCAGGGGGCCAGGGCCGGATCCGGGCTCTTTACTCTGTGGGGGTCTGACTTCCTCGGGGCCGCAGGAAGCCTCCTCGGGGTTCCAGCAAGAGAGGCTGCGGTCGCACCTCTGCTTTCTCAGGGTCTCAGCCAGGGGGAGAAAGCAGGACACAGGAAGCGCTGGGGGCCTGACTGGGGCTGGCAGGGGGCGGGGCCCGGGCCACACTCGGGTTTGGAGGACTGTCTGGTTCCCATCAGGACCCTGGGGCCCCCGGCCTGGCCTCTGCTGCCTGCCCCCTGGGTGCCTGGCACCTGCGGCCCACCCTGCACCGTGCGGGCGCAGAACCAGCAGACCGGGAACATTCCAGGGGGGTGGGAGCTGTTCCCAGTGGCGCCACCAGAGGGTGCCCTCCCCGTGTGGTACCACCTTTCTTGCATGGCAATTCCCGGGACTGGCTCAGGGACTCTGGCAGCGGCCCTACTCGGCAGGCAGCCCTGTGTCCATGGGAGGTCCCTTGTCACATGAAGGGTCGTGAAGATTAACCGAGACAACGCCTGGCCCTGGGCGGGTGCTCAGCAAATGGTAGCTACTATTATTGCAGTTGTTGTCACCGCTATTGATCTTGGAAGCATCCATGCTGCCCACGTCTGAACTTTGCACACTGAGCCAGCCTCACCCTGGAGTTGTGAAAACAGCCAGGATGCCAGGGCGGGGTTAAGCCATCTGGCCGGCCCCCCCTCCACCCCCACCCCCAGGAGGCCCCAGAGGAAGAAGCTGAGTTGTGCAGCCAGCAGGTCCCACAGCTTCCTCCACCCTCACTTGCCAAACGAGGCCGGGAAGCCGTGGGCGCTGCCCAAGGAGTTAAAACTCTGGAGGAGAAGCTCTGTCCTCAGGCCGCGCCCCCCGGAGAAGGGGGAGGGTGGCCCTGCCCTGCCCAGACTCACGTACCCCATGGCCGAGTACAGCGTGCCCCAGATGGGGCCCAGCGTCCAGTGGGGCGGGTGCCACCAGGGCTTCTGCAGGCTGGCATACCAGCGGAGGCCCTCTCCTAGGGCATAGCGGGAGCTCAGGAAGCCCCCCAGGCTGGGCGCCAGCGTGAAGGCCACAGCGGGCACCCAGGGCAGGACCATCGCTGCTGTGGCTGCTGTTCCAAGAAGTTCTGAAAGAGAAGACAGGGCTGGAATGAGAGGTGGGGGTGCTCCAGAGCTGGGGGGAGGCCTCCCTGAGCATTTCCTGGGGCCCTACTGTGCGCAGACCCAGGGTCAAGTCTATCCTCTCCTTCAGCGTCACTGCACGTCCTGGGGAGGGTCTGTTGCCAGCCTCATCACTCACTGATCCGTCAATCAATTGAGGTGCTGCAAAGATGCACAAGGCAGGGGGGCTGGGTTCACACCAGCGGCCCCGCCATTGCAGCCCAAGGGTCCAGTGGACACAATTCCACCCAAACCCCTGCCCCCTACCCCCCCAGGAGGCTGCCCGAGCTGGCAGGAGCCTCTCAGGTGACCCCGTCCCCACAGTCGGCTCCACCTGAGCTCCTCCCCCAGCTGCCAGGGTCCTGTGCCCTCTCACCTTTGACCGTGGGTCTCCTGGCAAGTGACCCCTTCTCTCTGCCCCCTCATTCAAGGCCAGTTTGGGTCTCCTCCTCCAAGCCCCTCCTCCCCAGGCTGACGACCAGCCGGAGGCTCTGCGAGGCCTGCGCCCACACCCTGCACTTTATGTTCTAGTACTTCCCATTCATTCGTTCATCATTCATTCATTCATTCAACAACTGGTATCAGACAGAGCTTGGCTTAAACCCCGGCTCCCCACTGACTCACTGTGACTTCAGGAAAATCACTTCAACTCTCTGGGCCTGCCTCAGTTTCCCCCTCTGTAGAATGGGATATTAACATTGCCTGCCTAGGCCCAGCCCAGTGGCCCACAGGCCTACTCTAAAATCTCTCTGTGCCAGAGAGGGAGAGCAGCCTGCCTGGGATCACACAGCACTCTGGAGTCAGGCTTTGCCCGGGTCAAAAAGCTGCTCCCACCCTGATGTTCAGGGCCGCTGAGGTGGTAGGTGGGAAGGGACAGGAGTCAGCAAGAGTTCAAGGCTAGTGAGGCCCCTTCAGCAGCCCTGAGGGGCTGGCAGGGCTCGGGGCAAGGAAAGCCCCAGTCTCAGGCCTGGGTGATACCACTCCCAGGGCTGGGGACCCAGTCATCAGGTTCCCCGTCATGCTCGTCGGCCATGTGCCCTGCCCAGCAGCCCCAAGATCTGCCCTGAGACCCACCGGGCGCCCAGAAGGCGAGGCTCCCAGAAAGCTGAGTTGCTCATTGGGGCTCAGAGTCCAGAGAGAGGGCAAGGCGGATCCTAGGCTGGACATCTGGGACCAGCTCTGCCCAGACCTGCTGTAGGACCCTAAGCCTGTCAGCACCCCTGACCGGGCCTCAGTTTCACCATCATAAAACGAGGGGGCTGAGCTCCCTCTGACATGCTCGGATCCTAGGTGGAGAATCTGGGGTGTCCTCTGCCGAGATAAGATACCACACAAGTGATTCAGTTCAGCAAACCTGCAGCATGGCCTGCTGGGGTGGGGGCGGGGGACCCCAGGTGGGCGGAGCGGGAGAGGCCCCGAGAGGGACACAGCCCTGAGAAAGGGCCCCCTGACCCAGAATCAGGGAGAAGACGGTGCTGCAAGGACAGTGAGCACTTTCTCCACAGGGACAGGAGGGGAAAGCAGTCAGGGTGGAGAGAATGACAAGGCAGGTGAGTGTGGCTGTGGGCTGGAGGGGAGGTGGCTGGGGGCGCAGATGCAAGGAAGAGGCTGTGCTCCCTCTGGCGGCTGTGGGAGCCACCAGGGCCTCAAGCAAAGGTCGAAGGCCGCCCGGGGGAGGGGCTGCCACGGGCCTGGGGCTCCTCAAAGCTCCATGAAATGCAGAAGCAACCTCAGTGCCCAACAGCTGGGGACAATTAAAGGCTGGGCAGCCCCCAAATCCAGCTTCTGAGGACTCTGATAATGTGAAAAGTGTTGTCAACACAATGTTAAGTGAAGAAAGCTGAATATAAAATTGACTACAGAATGATCCCAATTTTAAAGAAAAAGAGATAACAGATATGCACTTTAACAACTGTAACAAATTCACGAAGATGTTAGCAGCCGTCCTAATGGTAAACCGAACATTGCCTGGGGAACAGCTGTAGGCCCGGCGCAGGCAGAGCCTGAACCTGAACATCGTCGAGGGAACACCACCATCGCATCCCACCTGCCATGACGAGCCGAGGCACAGAGCAGGCGGGCGTTCGCCCAGGGCCCCTTGCAAGCGGGTAGCTGGGGATTCAGAGTCCCGCATGCGGCAGCGGGATTTATGATGCTCTGTTCATTACAGCATTATTGTTTTCCAAAATGTCTAGAATGAACATAATTTTAAATGGAACAGAGTCTCAGGCATCCCGCAGACTCCAGCTCTGCCATTTAGGGACTGTGATCCCCCCCTCCCTGGGCCTGTCTCCTCGCCTGTTGAATGGGGACAGTTACCCACCCCCAAGGTCTCTGCAAGGATGAACTGTGATGATGAACGCTGCCGAGGGCTGGGCATGTGACACGGGCCCAGGCTGTCTCTCCCTCCCCCTTGCTCCTGCCCAGCCCTCTGGCTTCCAGGGTGCACGTAACTGTTCCTGGGCTGGGGGTGACCGTCACAATATGAAGGGCCACCTCCCCCGGGGCTGGGAGAGCACTGGCCCCGTGCTGCTGTCAGGTAGGTGTGGAGCTCTGGCCCCAGAGCCTTGGGACCTGGCCACCAGCCGGGCTCATCACTGTGTCACCTTGAGCAAGCCCAGGCCAGCTCAGTCCTCTTTCTCACCTACGCAATGGGGACATAACATGTTGACTCCACAGCAAGGGGACAGTATTTAGGCAATCTTAGTGAGCTGTATTCAATGCGTTAGGCCCACCCTGGAACGTGACAAGGGCTGGGCAGGTGAGAGGCCTTCACACCATACTGACCCTCACATACAGATAGGGAAACTGAGGCCCAGGGCCAGGGGGTCAGGCACTGAACTGGCAGGACCTCAGGTCTCCTCAGGGTGACCATATGTGCCTTTTTCCAGGACAGTCCCACTTTATGCCCACTTTGTCCTAAACTAACGGCGCCCCTCCACTCTCAGAAGTGTCCCTTTCACAGGACATCAAGGTTAACGCCACCAGCATCAGACACGTGGGCATCATGAACCCCTGACAGGAGCACAGAGTGGACAGCCTGCTGTGCTCTTCTTGCCCAAAAGGCAAATCCCCAGTGTAACGACGAGAAAACCTCAGACGGTGCCAGATGGAGGAACATCCTACAAGACACCTGACAGTACTCTAGCGCTCTCCAAAAGTGTCAAGGTCAGGAAAGACCAGGAAAGACAGAGAAAATGTCACCGACCGCAGGAGACTAAGGAGAAATAACACAGAACACAATGAGGGCCCCAGATGGAGTCAGGGGCCAAGCGAACACACCACTGGGAAGCCTGAAGGGGCTGGAGCGGGGTCCGCGGTTGCCAGCACAGGGTTAAAGGGAAGCCAGGTGAAGGGACTGCGGAAACTCTGGACCACTTTTGTAACTTTTCCGTAAGTCTAAAATTAGCTCAAAATAAAGTGTTAGGAAAGAAGCATCCTGGCTTGGACAGTAAGTTGCACAGTCCCTACTTACGTGCAATACGTGTCACCGCATCCGTCCCTGACACCAGGCCCAGACCCCGCTCCACCCCAGGCCCCTCGCAGCCGCCACTTCCACCATATCACCCCCGCCCAAGACCCTCAGCAGCTCCTGTCTAGTTGTTTTCTGTTTCTTTAATTGAGGTGAAATCTGTACGACGTAAAATTCACCATTCGAAGTACACAATCCAGGGGCGCTCAGTGCGCCCCAACGTCGTGCCACCACCATCCGCATCAAGTTCTAAAACATGTCCATCTCCTGAAAGAACCGTCGTACCCATTAGCACTGCCTCCTCATTCCTCCCTCCCCCTGCTAGCCCCTAGTCCACGTTCTGTCCCTATGATTTACCTTTTCTGGACGTTTCCTGTGAACAGAATCATACCATGCATGGCCTTCTGGGTCTGGCTTCTTTCTCTGAGCATCGTGTGTCCCAGGTTTACCCACACTGAAGCGTGTCCATACTTCTTCCCAAAGGCTGTGGGCAGGGCGCTCATGTCACCTGCCACAGCACCCAGCTGGTGGCCAGGAAGTCCCCACACAGGACTCGCCCACTGTGCCAGCTGACCGGGCCCTGCAGCCCACCATCCAAGGCCCCCACTGTGCAGAACAAAGCGAGGCCCACAAGGAGGTGGCGGCTCCCCACAAGGCGTCAGTGGAGCCCCGAGCTCCTGTCCCCGCCCCACGCTGCCCCTTCACGGGCCTGGCTGTGCTTACGCTCCACGGGGCCTGCGGAATTGGAGGGTCTGCCCAGCCCGAGGGCCAGGAAACAGGGAGGCCAGATGCCCACGTGGAGAGTGCCTGGCAGGCAGCTTCCTGGGGCCTCTTGGGGACTGCCTGGCTCTGAATCATCCGACTGGGGGACCCACCAAGCTGAGTCACGCCGGGCTGGGCTGGGCTGGGCTGGGCTGGGCAGCTGGCCCAGGCAGGGCTGAGAGAGATTCGCTCTGAGATGGGGCCCCAGGGAGGGCCAAGGAGGGCCAAGGAGCCCCCAGGGCGGGAAGGGGCTCGGGACTCAGGCAGAAGGGCAAGGCCACCCATCTGCCCTTTACTTCTATCTCCGTCAGAAAGGGACTCAGAACCTAGACCTTGGCTTGCCTCCAATCTGTTTGGGGACCCCAGGCAAAGCTCCTCCCTGGGCCTCAGTTTCCCTTATGTCAGGTGGGTATAACCTGCCCTGCCTGCTTCATGGGGTCGTGGGGAGACCCAAGAGAGGACCAGGCGAGTGAGGGGCTGCGAGTATCAGTGTTCGGGGCCACTCACCCCCTTTTCTCTGGGGGAAGAGCAGCCCCGTGCGCAGACCCAAGGCTGAGCCGGCGTCAGGCAGGCGGCCTCTGGACCCTCAGGGGTGAAACTGTCTCTCAGGAGGCACCCCCACGTGGCCTGGGCCTCTCACAGGGGAGCACCTCCAGAACAGAGGCTCAGGACCTGGGGTCAGCAGAAGGTTCTAGGCTTCTGGGGAATGAGCAGTGGGGGTGGTTCTTGGTGGAGCGTGTGCTGGAGGCCAGGCCGGCCTCCTCCTGACGGTCATTACTTCACTTATTCTTCACAGCGGCCGCAGGGGAGGGGACCAGCTGCTTCCCTTCTCAGGCCCCCGAGCCACACGGCCCCCTCAGCCTCCACAGTGGACTCATTACTATTCCCACTGTCCAGACGAGGAAACTGAGGCACAAGGAGTCACAGGACTTCCCACGTCTGTGTGACTCTGAAACCCACAACATCCCCACTCCTCAGGTGGGAGTCTGGGGGCCTCAGCTCTGGGCCACACAGCCATTCACGATGGCCTCCCCCTCTCAGCCTCCTGTCTCATCCCCAGAGGCCTTCAGGGCTGAGGGCGGGCTCAGGCCCACAGGCTGCTCCCACCCCACCTCAGCATTCCACCCTCTGCCCAGGGCCAGAAGGTTCTGTCAGGGCCAACACCCTCACTCTCTCCAGCCCCAGAGCCAATGTCCCAGCCCCCACAGGGTAACAGACCCCAGCTCAGCCCACTGGAGGCAGTTAGAGGATCTCAACCCTCCTGGCCCCCAGGATGGGACCCAGGATCTCCCATCCTTGAGATGCTTCACTCCTGCCTCTAGGGTCTCACCTCCCCTGTCTCCGTGTCCCCATCTGTGAAGTGGGGCTGAGCCAGTGGCTCTCTGGGGGATCCTGTTCTCTGAGACCACCCTATAGAAGGTGACGGAAACTGCTGCCCAGAAACAGAATGAAGAGTTTTGCCATCTCTCTCGCCCCCTCCCTCTCCGGCTGTAGCCAGCCCTCCAGGTCCCCTCTCTCCCGCAGCCATCACTGTCCTAGGGACTTGTTTTAAGGCTCCTGTTTTTTTTTTTTTTTCATGACTCACAGGTAATCTTCCTCATTATAAACTTTTGAATCTTTTTCATGATGAAAGTATGCAATGGAACAGACAACAGTCTGGAAGGATCCACATCCCCCCGGTGACTGGGGAGGTCTGGTAGAGGGCGGGGCTGGGGATGACAAGGGGGAATTTGCTTTACGGAGGACTACCTTTTTAAACACAGAGAGCATCTTCAGGCATTGCTTGCACAATCAGAATGAAGCAAAAGAAAACACAAATAAAAGAAACACAGAAGTAAAAATAAAATAATGGAAAAGCAGAAGTGTACGCAGTAAAAAGTGGGTTCCCACCTTCTGAGCCCAGACTCCTGGCCCCACCCCTGAGTGACCCACCGGCAACGGTTTCTGGCACATCAGCCGGATATGGTTCAGTCATGACCTGGCACAAATGTGTACACACACACACACACACACACACACACACACCAGGCAGAGAAAGTGGGCTCCGGGCCATGGGGAAGGAAGCAACGCTTTCGAAACAGACCACACTGGTTCAAAGCCTGGCTCCACCACTGTGGCTCTGGGACCCTGGACAAAGCTTCCCGGGTGAGCCTCAGTTTCCCCCAGTTCCAAGGGCTCCCTTGGGGATGCAGGGTTCCCTCTGAGCCTCCCTCTGGGGTGCCGAGCAGCCCTCCGGAGACTGAGAAGGAGACACCCTGTATCCCTTCTCCACACAGAAGCTTGCTGCCTCCCTCCCGTGCTCCTCAGCTTGTCTCACGGCCAGTGGGCCAGCGCTGTTGCTCGCCGAGAACGGACACCTGGCTCCCGCTGCCCTGCGGGGCTCCCCACTCCACCCCACAGAGGCACCGGGGGCTCTCAGCCCACAGCCCGGTGGCTCATCCTTCTGGTCCATGTCTGCTGTGTGCCAGCACCCTGGGCGCGTGCTTCGTGGACACAGCCTCCTCTGCCTTCCTCTCCTTGCCCATGACCCTTTTGGACCCTTTTGGCTTAGTCCATGACAACCTCAGTCACTTGTCCCTCCGGCTGTCAAGCCAAGGGCACCTGGCTGGTACCAGCTACCATTGTGCCCTAGCAGGTGACCCAGAGAGGCACCCAGCTCAGGCCAGGCCACCGGCATCTGCGAGGCGACTCAAGCACTCAGCAGTGTGTTTGCAGGTGGAAGCCCCACGCCCCTCCCACCCGGGCTCCGAGCTCCTTTGCAGGAGGGGCAGGGGAGGCACGTCCTAGAGGATGCTCTGCGCACAGCACCTGAGCACTGGACTGGGAATCTAGGCACCCGGTTCTAAGGCCTGGCCGGACCCTAACTATCTGGGTAAATAACCTCCGCGATTAGGCCTGGGTTTCCTCCCGTAGACATGAGGGGTCTCAAGTGGATCAGGAGCCCGAGGTCTCCCAGGCATTTTGTGACCCCCATGGTACCCGGCTCAACCCCTCCCGCGCTCCCCGGCCACGGTTTATTCATCTGCGGAATGAGCGGGAGAGGGGTGTCCGGCCACCCGCGGGGCACGAGCGACCCTGCGAGCGAGGGCGGGGCGGGGTGGGCGGGGTGGCGCAAGTTCCCCTCGGGTCTCCCCCTCTCCGGCCGGAATCAGGCGGCACAGGACCCCGACCGCGGAAGCCAGGGCCCGGGCCACCCACCGCCCCGCCAGCTGACCCGGTAGCCGAGCCCCAGGGCTGCCCCCGGCCGCCCCCTGGGGTCCCCTCCCCGCGGCTCCCGCCTACCAGTTCCCGCCTGCCTCAGTTTCCCCTCGGGCCCCGCGCCGGCGAGCGGGCGCTGTCGGGGGTCGCACCTGCGCGGGGCCCCCTTGCCGCCGCCCCCTCGGCTCCCCGTCCCCACTCACCAGCGACGAGAACCCGTCCGGGGAAAGGCACTGCGCGGCCGGGAATGGTGGCCGCGGTCCCTGGCCTGCCCCGCCCCGCCCCGGGCCTCGCCCCGGCACCGCCCCCGGCCCCTCCCCGCTTGGCTGGAAGCCCGGGGCCGCCGGAGCCGGAGCTCGCTGGTCCCCGCCGCCCAGCCAGCGGGACGCGCCTCTGCCCCGCCGCGCCGCGCTCTTTCCCACGGTGACCGCCGCGCGCGGGGCAGACTGTCGGCAGGCAGGTCGCTTCTCTTCCGAGCGTCACTTTTCCCATGTGTAAAATGGGCACCAGAGACCCTCCTCGGGGATGGCAATTACGGCAGACAGCAAAGCCGTGAGCATCCTCCCACACAATAGCCCTGACCCCCCATCTCGGGAGGAGCACCCCAGTTCCTTCAGCCGTTGCCCAGGACGCGGAGGCAGCGCTGCACTCTTAGTCCTGGCTCAGCCGCTTTGTTGAGGCTGGTTCTCTCCGCCTCCATCTCCTCATCTGTAAAATGGGCACAGCCTCGTGGGGATGAGGAGGAGGAGGATGCCACGCGGTAACGCAGGCAGGGCGCCTCGCAGACGCTTGGCGCTCAGTGAGTGGAGGCTGCGGTCATCACAGCCTGGTGGCCTCCAGTTTGCCAGGGCCACCCTGATGGGACCCGCGTGCCCAGCTCCAGGCCATGGCCACCTCACTTCCTCATCTTGCTCAGCTTTATTTCTGCAGCCCAGGGCCTGTCCCCGCCACGGTGGGCTAACTTGGCATGGCAGGGCCCCTCAGCCCACAGGAGCCACATTGCCCAAACCGGTCCTCCAGGGCCCAAGGTGAACTGCGGCTACCTCTCCCCCTGGCACAGCGGCCTCGGGGGCCACAATCTGACTTTCCTAGGCCCTGGCATCTTGGTCATGGTGGGCCCCTTCCTCCTTCGACTGCACTGGTATAAAGACAGGTATGATCCAGGTTGGATTCTGTTCATCTTTTTCTTGTGATATTTAAAAATAATTAAGACATTTTCCTGGGTCCCTCAGAGTATGGTGGCCCCAGGCACTGTGGCTGCTGTTCTAACGGAGTCCATCTGGATGCGCCCCATCCCCCGGCACCCCATCCCCCGGCACCCCATCCCCCGGCACCCCCCCTCCCCCAGCCGCCAGCCCTCATCCTCTTCCTGGAAGGAGGTGCCCGTGGCTTTGCAATGTGGCAAACTCTCCTCCCCCGGAAGACCTGTGGGGAGGAGGCCGTGTGGCTTCCCTCTGCCTCCAACTCTGCTGTACTGGCCCTAGGCCCTCCGGGAGGCAGAGATGTCTGTCCCTAAGAATCTGCCGCATGCCTGGGCCAAAGGGGGGGGCTGCAAACAAACTCACAAGGCCCTGCCCTCGTGCAGTTCACGCCCTTTTCACAGACGAGACCCTGCGAGTCAGACGGGCCGGCTGCTGCCTGGGGGTTGGCACTGCAGGTCTGGATACAGATGTGGACGCCCCATCCTGTCGGGCTGGGAGCCGCCCATTACTTGTGCCTCCCTTCTCTCTAGCACCACTGACCCCACCTGAGCCTGGGCAGCAGCCACAGCCCCTAGCTGGCCCCCAGCTCCCCTCTTGTCCCCTCCATGCCCCTCCTCTGCTGGGGACCCTCCACGGCTCTCACTGCCTCAGGATCCAGCCTGAGCCTTTTCCCTGCTACTCGAGGCCCTGCCTGGCTGGGATCAGGGCCCAACTGCCCTACCCTTTCCCACCCCACGCCTTTGCACAGACTTCCCCCCTGCCTGCAGACCCTTCACCTCCACCCTGGGCATCTCCATGTGTCCAAGTCGGACTGCTCTCCAGCATCACCCCAGGAAGCTCTTCCAGAACCCCAACTCTGCCACCCCAACTCTAAGACAGCAGTGACCTCTGAACTCCACAGCACTGAGCACAGGAGCCTCTCTTGGGCGTTTGGCACATGGCAACCTCAAGAAACACATATAATGAGCACCTCGGGGTGCCCAGCTCTGGGCTGGACCCCAGAGGATACAACACAAGCAAACCCAGCCCCTGGCCTCAGTCCATCCGAGGAGGAGGCATGGAAAACAACCCCCCCAATCCCCAGAGGATTGAGCCCACCTCCTGTGCTCAGAGAGGTGAAGGGACATCCCTGAGGTCACACAGCTGATTGGTGATGGAGTCAAGATTCACACCCAGGCAGTCCAGGGCCTGCACTCCTACCTATCCTGTCATTCGGCTCTGAATTCCAATGTGACTCAAGTACCGTACCTCCTTATATTTCATGTGTTTACTTTATTACATGAGTAATTCATATTTATGGTAAAATCGGAAAATACAGACAAAAAAGAAAAAATGAAGTCACCCACTCTCCCATCACCCAGAGCAAAGCACTGCCGCCACCTTCCTGAGCTTTTCCCTGCCTTACTCTAAGCATGTGCACACGTGCCTTTACAAGAATGTCTTCATGCTGTAAATGTTTTTGCTATTTGTAAATGGTCTTACAATAAATCAGAAACCTCTTTCTACATTAACAAACATTTGTCTACATTGTTTTTTGTTTTTGTTTTTGTTTTTGTTTTGGTGAGGAAGATTGGCCCTGAGCTAACATCTGTGGCCAATCTTCCTCTTTTTTTTTTCTCCCCAAAGCCCCAGTTCATAATTGTATATCTTGTTGTGAGCCATTCTAGTTCTTCCACATGGGGCGCCACCACAGCATGGCTTGATAAGCTGTGTGTCTGTCCCCACCCAGGATCCGAACTCGCGAAACCTGGGCCACTGAAGTGAAGCACGCAAACTTAATCACTATGCCACCAGGCCAGCGCCCTACATTGTTTTTCTTAATTGTGAGATGTTCCATATAAACGGAAATGTGTATCAAACACTTGTGTGCCCTTTAAAATAATAATAAAAAGACACCCGTGTGTCTGCCCCCTGGGTTAATGAAGAGAAGATTCCTGGTCCCCTGGGGCCTCCTGGTGCCCTCTCCAGGGATTCCTCCCCACCATCCCGGAGTCACCTCATCTTGACTTGTGGGTTGGAAACGGCCTTGCTTCCCTTTAGAGTTTTATTAACACCACCTAGGATGTTTCCCCGAGCGCTATATTGAACAGCTGATGGCCAGACCAGAGGACGACCCCCAGGAGGGCAAACTGAACTGAGCCTCTGGGGCACAGACTGGCCTCAGCCTCCCCGAGCAATTACATGGCCCCTTCTGGGGCAGTCGGAGGGCAAGGTTGGGGAGGCTCCCCTGTCCGCATGGCTGGCAGGGCCATGGCATGGGCATTCAGCAGGAAATGGCCAGAGCTGTGGGCTCTTCCGTCTGCTTGCTTCTGAGCTCACTGTATCTGTGCTCCGATCTCAAGAGGAGGGGCGGACACTGCTGTGAGGGAGAACCAGTGTCCTCAGCTGAGACAGGCAGCAGGGCATGGAGGAGAGAACAGGGTCTCATGAGCCTGTGATCAAGACCTGTCAAATTCAGCCAAGATTCTGGGCCGGGCTCCTTAGGGATTCTGTTCTTAAACAGGCAGTACAGTGGCAGCTGGCATCTTGGTGACAACAACCCTCAGTACATCCTTGGAGTCACACTTCTCCCAACTGGACTGGCCACTCACAGGCCTGGTGCACATGTCATCCTGGGGTCTCTCTTCATCACCACCCTAGGGATGCCCTTGACCCCTCTGCTTGCCGGCTCCTCATTTCCTGCATGGCACATCCTCGCCTTTCTTGGTTCCCTGCGTTCGTGATGAGCCCATCCTCCAGGAGTTCTTGAGAAAGACTGCTTAGGAGGCGTCACATTTGAAATCCTGCACTCTATCCATGGTTGACTGATGCTTGGCTAAGAATTCGAAGTTGGAGATCCTTGCCCTTGAGCATCATGCAGACTTGCCGGCCTCCAGCTGCACGGTACCGATGAGCAGGGTGGACTCAGTCCATGTTTTGAGCCTTTGTATGTAACCTGTTTTGTTCTTCCTGGAAGATTTTAAGATTTTTGTCCCCAGAGTTCTGAAATCTCACACCGGTATTCCTCTATGTGGGTCTAATTTCACCCCTTGTGCCAGTGCTCAGGGGACCCTTTCATACGGGAAACATAGCCTTTATTTTTCGGAAATTGAACCATCTTTTGGATGATTTCCTTCCCTCTGTTTCCTCACTTCTCTTTCCGGAGCCCCTATTACTCAGAACCCTAGCCTGCTCTTCTAACTTCCTTTTCCCTCCTACTTCTCACGTTCTGCTTTTTTGCTTTACCTTCTGTGTGGTTTCCTCAGCTTTCTCTTCCTGGCCTTCTACTGAGCTTTTCAATTCTGCGATCCTGTTTTTAATTTCTAAGGGGTTATTTTTTGTTTTCCGAGTGTTCTTTTTTTTTTTTTATAACTTCCTGTTCATTTTTCATGGATGCAGTGTCTTCTCGTACCTCTCAACTATCAATGACAGTTTTCTTACAACAGTTATTTTCTTCTCGCATCATAGTCTCTGAATCTCATGCATTGGCTCCCCCACCCCCATTTGTAAGAGGCTTTCCTCAGATGCTTGGGCATCTTTGGTTGGCTGCTCGTGATTAAAAGAAAGGAGGGAAATAAGTCTGCGGATGGTATTTGTTGGCTTAGCTTTACTGTAAAGTTAAACTTGGTGGGTCATTTGTCTAGGAACTTCCTGGAGTGTCAACATCTTTAGGATTTCCTTCTTGGACTGGGCAGATTCCCTAAGGTCCTCAGTCCCTTGCCTGGAGGGTAGCGGTCTGGCCCGAGGTTTCTGGGGCTCAGCTGGGGGGAAGCACTGGAGGTAGTCTCCGCTTTCTCAGTCAGTCTACACCTGTTTCAGCAGAGTACCCACATTCACCGCTGTCCCTGGTGTGTCCAGCCCTTTGCAGAGGTAAACCCTCGATGTTCGCCAGAATGAGAGAGGAGCATCAGCCAGTGACTGGAGAGAGGGAGGGGATCTAAAGATCTCAGTGTTCTTCAAACACACCTTCCAATAGTCCTCTTTATTTCCACCTTCTTCCACCCTCAGATCAAGCGGCAGCTGGTGCTGTCAGTTCCTGAGCTTTCGAGGATTCTGTTGCATGAATAAGGGTTGCTTCTCAGCTTTCCCCAGTTTCAGGAGGAATTTGGCTGTCTGGAGTGGGCTAAGTCCAGTAATACTGGTCTTCCTGCTTCCCAGCTTCCAGAGAGCCTGCTGCTAGGCCCTCCTTTTCTGCTGTCCCTGTCCTTGTGGATTTGTCTTCAAAAGATTCCTGCAGTGTGGGTTTACGGGCTTTTGGAGGCTGTGTGCGCTCTATTCATGTCTCAGCCTGAAACTCTCCTCCACGTCTTGGATGACCACGGCGTTGAGTAGATTTGCCATCATCCGTTGAGCTCATCTCCTCTAGTTAGATATGCAGCTTATTTCCATTTTTCCTCATCAAAAGCAAGGCTGCCAGGGATGTCCTGAGAGTGAGATCTCCGTTCATTTGATTCTTTTCTTAGCAGAAACTCACTGAAGGAGATTTGCTGACATGATTCCACCTAGATCTCTCTCATTACGAGGTGTGTAGTGCGTGTGCACGTGCGAGGCCCCTGGGCTCCTTAGAAGAGGCTGGCAGGAACCGAGAGAGGAGCAGGGGAAGGGGGTGTAGTCATGGGTGAGGTCAGAGTTGGATTCTTTCTGACCCAGTCTCACACCACCGCTCAGAAGCCGCATAACCCCAGTTTCCAATCCCCTTCTGTCACTAACCACCTGTCACTCAATCTTCCAGCCTTTGTCTACTCATCTGTAAACTGAGGATAATAGCACCTATCCACCACAGTGTTGCTGTGAGGAATTAAGCTAATGTCTGAAAAATATCCCGGGTTTTGTTCAACGGGTCACCTATTTACTAGATGCTTCTGTGCCGGGCACCGTGTCCGGTTTGCAGGAAGCATTATAAGAGAAGCGTTATCTTGCCCACTGCACAGTGTTGGTGGGAGAATCACAGACGAGAAAGAACGTGGAAGCGTCTCAAGCACGTTTCACACGCCAGGTGGAAAGAGTGAACACTACATTGCGTCGCGCCGTTTATTCAATAGATATTTCCCGGGGCTCATTGTGGTGCCGGACCTCGCCGTCTGCCCTCCCGTGGAGGTTTACGTAAGCGCATGCGCCCCCAGCACGCAGGGCAGCCGGGTCTAGGGCCCAGGGCAGAACCAGAAACTGCGGAACCTTTCCTTCCGCCCTCGGGTGCCCTGACCCGCCCGGCAGGAAATGAGCCACGGACCGCGCCGCCGCAGTCGGGCCCCGGTCGCCGCGGTAACGCGCGGGGTTCGCGTGTCCTCGCCATGAACGTCCGGGTGGCGCGGGCTGCGTGGGCCCGGGGCTGCGGCGCCTCGAGCTTCCCGCGGCCCCCGCCGGGCGCGGTGGACGTGGCGGAGCTGCTGCGCGATGCGGCGGTGGAGGAACCGCGGGCGGCGGCGGCGCGGCGGCTGCCGGGCCAGTGCTCCGTGCTGCTCTTCCCGGGCCAGGGCAGCCAGGTGGTGGGCATGGGCCGCGGGCTGCTGCGCTACCCGCGCGTCCGCGAGCTCTACGCCGCCGCCCGCCGCGTGCTGGGCTACGACCTGCTGGAGCTGAGCCTGCGCGGGCCGCAGGAGGCCCTGGACCGCACCGCGCACTGCCAGCCCGCCGTCTTCGTGGCCTCGCTGGCCGCCGTCGAGAAGCTGCATCACCTGCAGCCCGCGGTGAGGCCCGAGGCCCCGGGGCCGGCCGGAGTGTCCCCGCGGCTGACTCCTGGCCGATTCTCACGAGTACCCGCTTTGGGCCAGGCCCTGTTCTAGGCGCTGGGGCTACAGGCGGAGCTTGCATCTTCGGGGCAGGAGACATCATAAATATACGATGTAAAGAACATAGCGTGTTAGAGGTGGAAAGTGTTATAGAAAGGAAAACAGAACAGAGAAGGAGGCTGGGGAGTCGAGGGCCGGGCTGTGATTTTAAATGATCCTTAATCATCTAATTAGTTGCTAAATGATTTTAGGGGGATTCAGCTTCATCCCTAAATGATCATTGAGAAGATGATATCTGAGACGGTCACTTCACTTGAAGGTGTGAATTGATTGCTGTTGATACTTCATAATATCAAAATAGTAAATATTAAGCTAGTTCTTTAAACCCTTTTCCCCATTTCGCCCTGTAACAGCCTCGTGAGGTAAATACTGCTATTTTGTGGATGGGGAAAGGAGACTTGGTGATATTAAAGGGTTAGTTATGTGGTCCTGTTGAGTCGTGAATAACATTGAGTGCTTGCCCTGGGCCAGGTCTGTGCTAAGCACTTTAGAGACATTATCTTCATGTGATTCTCTCAGCAGCCCTGTGATGTAGGTCCTGCTCTTTCTCCATTTCACAGATGAGACAGCTGAGGCTTCAGGTTGATTAGGGAACTTTCCCAAGCTGAGAACTGAATCCGGCTCTTTGTGACTCTGAAAGTCATGCTCTTGACTTCGGTGCTGAGCTCCCTCCTGCTCCATCGGTCTGAGAGGCAGCCCCAGGGCAGAGGCGATGGAATCCAGAGCCCTGGGTTGGAGTCTCACCTCCCACTCAGAGTCAGCGAGCTGGGTTTAACTCACCTTGCCAGGGAAGTTCCTCATCAGTAAAGGGGCCGCATCAGTGAGTGTCAAAGCCACTTCTCTGTCTCCTCATCTAGCTGGAGCACCAGGCCAGTGGGACCTGGCTCACTGAGCCACTGAGCACCTTGCCAGCTCTCAAGTGCAGAGCCCTGGATGGAGCTCTCTGAGAACTTGGCCTCACGTTCTGCATCTGTCACCACAGGTTATTGAGAACTGTGTTGCTGCTGCTGGATTCAGTGTGGGAGAATTTGCAGCCCTAGTGTTTGCCGGAGCCATGGAATTTTCTGAAGGTACACAGAAAGGGGTTTGGTTTTGTGCAGGGGTGTTGTCTTCCTGGGCTCACTGGGGCCAAGGGACATTGCCATAAATGATTGTGGACCCATTCTGGGGTGATAAAGAAGGGAGCACGTGGATGGGGATGACATTGGAACCCGAGGACCAGACTTCACCTAGATTCCCTTTTAAGCCTGAAGGGTTCATCTGGGATTTCCTTTCTTTTGGTAATCTCATGAAATCTGCTTGCTTGACTGTCTCTCCCTTATCCCCTGTGTTCTTAGTCTGTTCACATGCTTCCAGTGCCTATTGCTTGGTAGAAGCTCAGTAAATATGCATTAAATGAAAAAGTAATTGAATGTTTGATCTTGAGCCATATCAGTTTCATTTCTTAAGATTTTTGTTTATGGTTAAAACAGATCAACATTTTTGCTTATAGATAAATATGGGCAAAGGACTTGAATAGACATTTGTCCAAGAAAGATATCCAAATGACCAATAAGCACATGAAAAGATATGCAACATCACTGATCATTAGGGAAATGCAAATCAAAACCATAATGACGGGGGCTGGCCCCGTGGCCGAGTGGTTAAGTTCGTGCGCTCTGCTGTAAGCGGCCCAGGGTTTCGTTGGTTCGACTCCTGGGCGCGAACATGGCACTGCTCATCAAACCACGCTGAGGCAGCGTCCCACATGCCACAACTAGAAGGGCCCACAACTAAGAATATACAACTACGTACTGGGGGGCTTTGGGGAGAAAAAGGAAAAAAAATAAAAATCTAAATTGTCTCTTCAAAAAAAAAAAAATGCCATTAAAAAAAACAAAATCCACAATGACGTACCACTTCATACCCACTAGGATGGCTTTAATTTAAAAAGACGGAACAAAAAGCAGAAAATAATAAGTGTTGGCGAGGCTGTGGAAAAACAGGAACCTCACACATGGCTGGTGAGACCGTAAACCAGTGCAGCCGTTGAGGGAAACAGTTTGGTGGTTCCTCCAACAGTTAAACATAAGTTACTGTACGACTCACTAGTTCCACCTGTAGGTGTATCACCAGGAAATGAAAACATGTCCACGCAGAAAACTTGTACACAGATGTTTGTAACAGCGTTCTTCATAACAGCCTAAAGATGGAAACAGTCCACATGTCCATCCTCAGATGAGTGGATAAACAAATTGTGGTCTATCTGTACAATGGAATACTATTCAGCCATAAAAAGAAGCGAAGTACTGACACCTGCTCCAATGTGGATGAACCTCAGAAACATCCTGAGTGAAAGGAGCCAGGCACAAAAGGTCACGTAGTGTGTCATCTCGCTCATATGAAATGTCCAGAATACACAAATCCATAGAGACAGCAGATTAGAGGTTCCTGGGTGGAGGGAAGGAGAAATGGGGAGTGGTTACTTAGAGGATACAGGTGTTTTATGTTTTATAATTTGATATTGTATATTTATATTTTACCTCAGTGTTTTTTTAAAAAGCATTATAGGAAATGAAAATAGTTTCATAGTTCCACATCCTAATAAAACTATTTTACACATAGTTTTATGTGTACATAATTTGCAGAATTAGAACCTGTGTACATTCTGTGTTGAGTTTTTTCACTCGGCATCTTGCATACTTATTTAATGGCTGCACGGGAGGATTTCCACACGCTTTCTCCACATTCCTCTGTGTTGTCTTACTTCCTGCCACAGGCTCTTAACACATTTGCTCCACAGCTCCACTTGCGTAAGGAGGCTGAAAGTCCAGTACAGCTGTGCGTGATTGCCAAGTGAATGGAGATGTGTTAGAGAGAAAGGGGACAGGAGTGCCCCTCAGACCCTCCCCGTTGTCCCATCAAACCTGCGCTGCCCCTTCACCTCCCTTGGTCTGCTCATGCCCTTCCCCCCGAGGGAGCAGACCCAGGACCAGGACAAGGGGTGTCCAGTCATCACAGGCCATTCTTACGTGGCGGTCATTGGAGCTGCCTGCCTGGGCACGGCCCTGTCCTCTCACCTTGCGCTGGAGCCACGCTGACCCAGGAGCCCGCGTTTCGGGTGGCCTGCCTTGGCAGCGTCAGGTTCTCCAGCTCTTAGTGAGGGCAGCACTGCTTGGTTTATGGTAATTGTGAGACTGCGAGTCAGGGACCAGTTTGTAGTTTGTGCATCATTCCAAGTATCTTGATGCCTCTTGATTGTTTTTCCTCTTCAACACGATTTCTCTTAAGTAATAACCAAATTGATAATTCCCAGGGCCAGCCCAGTGGTGTAGTGGTTAAGTTTACATGCTCTACTCAGCAGCCGGGGTTCACTGGTTCGGATCCCAGGCATGGACCTATGCACCGCTCATCAGCCATGCTGTGGTGGTGTCCCACATGCAAAATACAGGAAGACTGGCACAGATGTTAGCTCAGGGCCAATCTTCCTCAAGCAAAAAAGGAAGATTGGCAACGGATGTTAGCTCAGGGTGAATCTTCCTCACCAAAAGGAAGAAAGAAATAAATCCCAGTTTTCACAACAAGCCAGGCAGATTAGATATTATTATCCCCATTTTACTATCTAAAACTCTCGCTTGGAGGGAGGTCATGACTTGCCCGAAGCAATGTAGCTCAAAGTCTGTTCCTTCTCACCCTACAGCAGGATTTCTCAGAAGCAGCACTGCGGGTGTTTTGGACCAGATAATTCATTGTTGTAGGGGCGCTGTGCATTGTAGGACGTGGAGCAGCATCCCTGGCTTCTACCCACCAGATGCCAGTAGCACAGACCCCCTTCCCCGTTGTAACAATCAAAAATGGGCTCCAGACACTGCCCTGGGGGCACAGTCACCCCTGGTTAAGCAGCCCGTCCTGCGCCGAGCCGCTGTGAGGCACGAAGCCATGGGTTAATTCGTTAGTGCCAGGGACGGCACCTGCTTTTCCATGGTGGTGGCGGCATCTCTGTCTGTGCAGCAGATACAGATACAACTGTGGCCTTGTGGGCTGGCGGCGGACACCAGTGTGAGTGTCTCCCGCACGCAGTGTGGACCTTAGCCTTGTCTTTCAGGTCTGGGCTTCCCTCCTTCATTACGTGCCCTGATTTCTCCAAATGCCCTTCTCTCTGGATAGGTCTGTATGCAGTGAAAGTCCGAGCCGAGGCCATGCAGGAAGCCTCGGAAGCTGCCCCCAGTGGGATGCTGTCTGTCCTCGGTCGGCCTCAGTCCAAGTTCTCCTTCGCCTGCTTGGAAGCCCGGGAGCACTGCAAGGCTGCGGGCATAGAGAGCCCCGTGTGCGAGGTGGCCAACTACCTCTTTCCCGACTGCAGGGTGATTTCAGGACACCTGGAGGTGGGTGTTGACGGGCACAGTCCTCACAGACCCCAGTCCGCTACAGAAGGGGGGAGCCGTTCCACGCCTGTGAGCCCACAGTAGTGCGCTGGGTTCTCGGCTGAGCCGAGATCTTGGGAAGTATTTGAGGGCCTGGGGAGTGTGTGGTGGAGCGAGCACTGCACAGGGAGCAGGAGGCTGGGATACTGTCCCCCTCACCTCATACAGACCGGGACCTCGGGCAACTTGCCCAGCCCCCTATGGAAAGTGAAGGGGCTGGACCAGGTGGTCTCCAGGCCCTCGCCTGGTGCACTCGGGGCTTCTCACGGCCGCTGACCCGGTTGCTTCCTCAGAGAGGAAAAGCCCTTCCTACAGGGTTGCTCCTACCTGCTCTTTCTCCCGGGTCTGTGTTGGCACCCAAGTTAATTTCCTTTCCTCTGCCCTTCCTTCCCTTCTCTCTTCCCCACAATCATTGCTCGGGCAGCTCCTGTGCAGCAAGCACTGAGGACACAGACTGGTCAGCCAGAGCTCCTGCCCTCCCAGGAAGGCCGGCTGTGAACGGATGACTCCAGGTTGCAGGGTCAGGCTGACAGCAGGGGCCTGAGGAGGTGGCCCCAGGAGTGGGGCCTGGAGGATGAGTTTGCCAAGAGGAAGGGCATCCCACACAGAGAAGGAGGGCGCGCCCAATGGAAAGGGCAGATCCTGAGGGCTGAGCTTGGGAATGCTGGCGGAGTGCGGGTGGGGACCTGTGCGGGGCTGCGGCGCAGGGCCAGTGCTTACACCTCTCCAGGCCCCAGCGGCAGTCCTGTGCTCGCGGAGGAGGGTCTCAGTCCCATCTTAGATGTGAGGAAGCTGAGGGAGAGGCAAGTGCTTGGAGATGGTGGAGGGAGACCTGGAACTCGTCTGTCTCACGCTGGCGTCTGTGTCTCCTCCACTCACCTTTTCCGTTCATCCTCCCCTTCAAGGCCTGGCCCTTGTGCCAGGTGACCTCGTGTGTCTCCTCTGAATCAGTGAGTGGTCCCTCTTGTGACAGTTCTGAGATGGTGGGAAGATGAGTTACAGTGGCCCCAAGTTACTCACGGAGGCAGTTGCTCTCTCCCATTAGAAAGTAACCCAGAAGGGAGCCAGGAGGGGCCCCCAGCCAGGGCAGGAATCTCCCCCCAGCCAGGGCAGGCTCCCAGCCAGGTGGGCATCCGGTCCAGATGACGACTCCTGGGACTCCCAGGTTTGGCCTCTTGGTGCTGTTGGAAGTGCCACCGCAAAGAGCTGAGCTGAGGACAGGGCTTCCCCTGAGCAGCAGAGCCCAAATCCAACAACTGATCGAAGAAGGCTCGGTCTCTGCTAGACCAGTGCCTTGGCCGAGGGCCAGCCGCATAGGAGCCTGCTGGACCTGAGGCCATGGCCTTGACTCCTGCGGTCTTCCCTCGAGTTGGATGAGTGCAGAGACCTTACAGGGAAAGCACTTTGAGGCGGCTGAAATGACACAGGAGGTGCCACAGAGTGTCACCCACACGGATGCCGGTGGTCAGAGCAGCCCAGGCATGCTGGGAAGGGCATGGGCTGGGGACTGCAAGAGGCCTTGGTTCAGAGATGCTCCCGGGGCTTGTCCCTCAGTGTGATGGGACAGACTGGAGGTGACAGTGGACATGAAGCACCTGGTCAGTCAGGACAGGGTAGACTGCTGCAGGGACAGACAGTGCAAACCTCCACGGTTCCCGCAGGTGTGGTGCACATGTGGTGTGGTTCACTGTGCTGGGCTCTGCTCCACTTCCCTCCCCGCCCTGAGCGGCTCTGGAGTCCTGACAGACAGGAGGCAGAGGAGGCTGGATGGGATGAGCCACAGGCTGCAGCTGGCCGGGCCTGGGTGGGCAGGATATGCTCCTCCTGCAGGGAGGGGTCCATGGAGATGGACAGACGAGCACCATCCAGCCAAAACTCCTGGTGCCTCCTACCCTCTGGGGACACAAAGAGCTGCCTCGTTATGTTTTTTCCAGTAGACATGGATGGGCTTGGTATACAAGATGATAATGATTGCTAACCCTTATACAGCACATGTGCCTAAGCAGCGTTCGATCCATGCCCCCATGAGACAACTACTGTTGTCATCCCCGTTTTATAGATGAGGAAACTGAGGCACAGAGAGGTAAAGTGCCACTGCCTGAGGTCGTGCAGCTGCTGTGACCACAAGGCTTACCTTCAGTCTTCCAGGGAGCAGCTGGCCCAGCCTCTCATCAGGCTGTGCGTGGCTGCTGTCGGGTTGAAGGGACACAGCAGAGGGTTTAGTGCACAGGGAGCCCTTGAGATCCCAGTGGAGGCATGAAGGGCCTCCAGTGTCAGCGTGGCAGGCCGTGGGCTGTGTCTCTTAGGAATATACTATTTTAAAGATATTTGCAAATTACGCTGTTTGCCAACACTTCCAAATTTGGGCCTGTTAGCCCCAGAGGCCCCTTCTGGGCCGAGGCCCCTCCTGGGGAAGGTTTTTGGTTTCAGGGAGAGAGAGAGTTCTTCTCTAGAGAAACCGCGGAGGAGAGTTCTCAGGGGAAAGACCCTGCGGGGTGAAATGAGGCTTCGAGTCTCCTTCTGAACTTTTTTCTTGAAGATTATGGAGTGATAAGAAAACAGGTTTATTAAACATTATGAAGGGTAGCAGAACTATAATTGAAGATGAACACTTACTGTTAGTTTATAGATGCTTGCACACCTCCTGCCAGTCACTTCCCAGCACCTTGTGAAGTAGACAAAACTCTGCTCACTTTATGGGTGAAAAAAAATGCCAAGGCGTTGAGTGATATTTCTGGGCCCCGAGCTAGTGAATGACAGGAGCTGGGACAGGACTCGTGTTTCCCAACCTCGGATCTCTTTCAGCCACGCAGTAGTCACCTACCCAGGTGGGGCATGTGAATGGTCAGATCCCCGGAGGAGGACTTGTGGGACACTGAATATGCAGCTGATTTTAATGGAATAAAGAGGTGGATTGAGTCTGTCACTCTAGGTCATTTGCAGCCTGAACTACGTGTGCAGATGTGAAGAGAGAAGCATATTCTGTACACAGGACTATGACGGTGCCAGTGGTGACTGCCTCTCGGAGTTTCTTCCTCTAAGATCTGCCTGGCTTAAACCTCCTTTCTTTTTTCTCCAGGCTCTGCAGTTTCTCCAGAAGAATTCCTCTAAGTATCACTTCAGACGCACCAAGATGTTGCCGGTGAGCGGTGCCTTCCATACCCGCCTCATGGAGCCAGCCGTGGAGCCCCTGGCGCAAGTTTTAAAGGCAATTGATGTCAAGAAGCCTCTGGTTTCCGTCCACTCAAACGTCAATGGGAACAAATACATGCATCCGAAACACATCCAGAAATTGCTGGTCCAGCAGGTGGTCTCCCCGGTGAAGTGGGAGCAGACGATGCATGCCATATACGAGAGGAGGAAAGGCACCGAGTTCCCCAGGACGTTTGAGGTGGGACCTGGGAAGCAGCTGGGAACCATCCTGAAGAACTGTAACCTGCAGGCCTGGAAGGCCTACAGCCCCGTGGAAGCGATGGAGGCTGAGGACACGGACCAGGACCTGTAGGCGCCCCCTGGTGGCCACGGGGTGGGGGTGGCTCAAGTGGAGGCTCCGGTGGGCGGAGCACGGCCTGTCCTCCCCCAGGAGGTGGCTCTGCCCTGTGCCTTCTCTGCCTTCCTGTCTAGCCGCCTCTGAGTGATTGGGAGGGACTGTTTGCAAAGTGCTTGGAATGCCACATAAAAAGCACTAAATATGAGTATTTCTTCACATGACACTGTCCATTTTTCCCCCTTGAAACGCGTTTGAATTCTGGGGATAAGGATGCAGCGGTGCCGGGCTGGTGATGTGGAGAGCCTGAGTTCCTGCTCCGCCACGTGGGCAGAGCAGAGCACCTGCCAGCTCAGGTGGCGCCTCTAAGATGGGCCGAACCAGCCGCCTGGTGGGTACGTGCTGAGGCCCTTGGGGGCTTGGCCTGTTGCCATGATGCCCTTTCTTGTGGGTGCTGTGGGCATACTGGCGTGGCCACAAGGCAGGCCAGTACCAGAGGCTCCTCCGCTGCTCCGGGAGCCTCTGGCCACCACACCAGAATCTTAGCTCCTTTGTCACGAAATCCAAAGGGCTTTAGGACCCAGTTGGCCTTGGCAGCCATTCTCGTGCGTGCACACACACCCCCCAACACACTCAGCTGTTGGGAGACCCAGCCCCACATTGGTTTACTTACCCAGGAGTATTGAGTGCCTGCTGTGTGCCAGGGAGTGAGTGACCTCTGCCCTGGTGGGGAAGAGTGTCCTTTATTTAGCAAGCTGGATGGGACATGGGAAGGGCGGCTGAGGGCCTTGCTTCCTCCCACACCCCCAAGTCACCCCTCAGACAGTGACTACTGAGTGCCTGCTTTGTGCCCACAACCTGGTCTGGCCAGGCCCACCCTCATGGAGCCATCTCTGCCGCTCCACCCCAGGAGCACACGCAGGCTCTCTACAAATGCAACTCTTTGCATTAATATTAAATGGGAGGAATGCTAAGCCTCTTTGGGTGTTCTTTTCATTATTCAGTGATAGTGGGAAAACCTCACTGGGAATGAAAGCTCTGAGTTCATCTTTAAATGTTGCTGTTGTGTAGACCTGTGTCCAATCCTGGATAGAGTTTCTCATGTTCAATTCTACGCTCATTCTCAGCAGGGGAGGGGCCCTGCTGGCCTTTGGGCAGGACTGGGCATCATTGTGTGGGACCGTCCTGTACTTCTGGGCAGCCGTCCTGGCTCCTCCACTACATGCCAGTAGCACTTCCAGGCGTGTGACCCCCAGGCATGTTTCCACGGCCCCAGGTGAGAACCCGATTTTCACCACGGACTGAGTCTGAAAGTTCCTTGGGGCACAATGAAGAACTCTCTCTTAAAATTTTGTTTCAGAAGTTTTCAGGGGCCGGCCCTGTGGCTGAGTGGTTAAGTCTGCATGCTCTGCTTCAGTGGCCCATGGTTCACTGGTTCGGATCCTGGGCGCGGACCTACACTCTACTCGTCTAGCCATGCTGTGGTAGCATCCCACAAAGAAGAACTAGAATGACTCACAACTGGGATATACAACTACATACTGGGGATTTCGGGAGAAAAAAAAAAGGAAGGTTGGCAACAGATGTTAGCTCAGAGCCAATCTTCCTCACCAAAAACAGTGTATCTTTAAAAAAAGCTTTCAGCCATCAAACCACAAGGGAAGAGAGCAAGAGAAGAAGAAAGGAACAAAGAACTACTAAAACACCCAGAAAAAAAGTAACAAAATGGCAATAAGTACATATTTATCAATAGCTACTTTAAATGTCAATGGACTAAATGCTCCAGTTAAAAGGCATAGGGTTGCTGACCGGATAAAAAACAAGACCCATATATATGCTGCATACGAGAGAGACACTTCAGACCTAAAGGCACACAAACCGAAAGTGAAGGGATGGAAAAAGATATTCCATGCAAATGGCAAATAAAAGAAAGCTGGAGTAGCAATACTTTGACAAAATAGACTTTAAAACAAAAATTGTAATGAGACAAAGAAGGGCACTACATAATGATGAAGGGAATAATCCAACAAGAGGATATGACATAGGAGCAGCTAAATATAGAAAAGAATTATTAACAGACATGAAAGGAGAAATAGTAACACAATAATAGTAGGGGACTTTAACATTCCACTTAGACAGATGGACAGATCATCCAAACAGAAGGTCAATAAGGAAACATTGGCCTTAAACAATACATTAGACCAGATGGACTTAGTAGATATATATAGAACATTCCATCCAATGACTGCAGAATACACCTTCTTTTCAAATGCACATGGAACATTCTCCAGGACTGACCACATATTAGGGTACAAAACAGGTCTCAGTAAATTTAAGAAGATTGAAATAATACCAAGCATCTTTTCTGACCACAAAGGTCTGAAACTAGAAATTAGTTACAGGAAGAAAATCAGAAAAGTCACAAATATGTAGAGATTAAACAAAATGCTACTGAACAAAGATTGGGTCAACGAAGAAATCAAAAATTTCCAGAAGACAAATGAAAATGAAAATACAACATGCCGAAGTCAATGGGATACAGCAAAAGCTGTTCTAAGAGGGAAGTATATGGCGGTATAGGCCTACTTCAACAAACAAGAAAAATCCCAAATAAACCATCTAACAGGTCACCTAAAGAAACTGGAGAAAGAAAAACAAACAGAGCCCCAAATCAGGAGAAGGAAGGAAATAATAAAGATCAGAGCAGAAATAAATGAAGTAGAGACTAAAAAGCAGTAGGAAAAAAATCAATGAAACCAAGAGCTGGTTCTTTGAAAAGATACACAAAATTGAGAAACCTTTAGCTAGATTCATCAAGAGAAAGAGAGAGAAGGCTCAAATAAAATCAGATGAAAGAGAAGAAATTACAAGACACCTCAGAAATACAAAAGATTATAAGAGAATACTATGAAAAGCTATATGCCAACAAATTTGATAATCTAGAAGAGTGGACAAATTCTTAGAATCATACAACCTTCCAAAACTGAATCAAGAAGAAATAGAGAATCTGAATAGACCAATCACCAGTAAGGAGATCAAAATAGTAATAAAAAACCTCCCAAAAAATAAAAGTCCAGGGCCAGATGGCGTCCCTTGTGAATTCTACCAAACATTCAAAGAAGATTTAATACCTCTCCTTCTCAAACTCTTCCAAAAAATTGAAGAGAAGGGGAAGCTTCCTAACTCATTCTACGAAGCCAACATTACCCTGATACCAAAACCAGACAAGGAAAACACAAAGAAGGAAAATTACAGGCCAATATCACTGATGAACACCGATACAAAAACCCTCAACAAAATACTAGCAAATCAAACACAACAATACATGAAGAAGATCACACACCATGATCAAGTGCGATTTATTCCAGGATGCAGGGATGGTTCAACATCCACAAATGAATGTGATACACATTAACAAAATGAAGAATAAAAATCACACGATTATCTCAATAGATGCAGAGAAAGCATTTGACAAAATACAGCATCCGTTAATGATAAAAACTCTGAATAAAATGGGTATAGAAGGAAAGTACCTCAACATAATAAAAGCCCATATATGACAAACCCACAGCTAATATCATTCTCAATGGAGAAAAACTGAAAGCTACCCTTCTAAGAACAGGAACCAGACAAGCATGCCCACTTTCACCACTCTTATGTAACATAGTATTGGAAGTCTTAGCCAGAGCAATCAGGCAAGAAAAAGAAATAAGAGGGATCCAAACTGGAAGGGAAGAAGTGAAACTGTCAGCATTCGCAGGTGACATGATTTTATATGTAGAAAACCCTAAAGAATCTATTTAAAAACTTATAGAAATAATAAATGGTCAAGTTCCAGGATACAAAATCAACATACAAAAATCAGTTGTATTTTTATACACTAATAATGAAGTAGCAGAAAGAGAAATCAAGAATACAATCCCATTTACAATCGCAACAAAAAGAATAAAACACCTGAGAATAAACTTAACCAAAGAAGTGAAAGAGCTGTACACTGAAAACCATAAAACATTGTTGAAAGAAACTGAAGACACAAAGAAATGGAAAGAGTCTGTGCTCTTGGATTGGAAGAATTAACATAATTAAAATATCCCTACTTCCCAAAGCAATCTACAGATTCAATGCAATCCTTATCTAAGTTCCAACATTTTTCATGGAAATAGGACAAAGAATCCTAAAATTTGTATGGAACAAAAGACCCCAAATAACTAAAGGACTCCTGAGAAAAAACAACAAAGCTGGAGGTATCACACTCTCTGATTTCAAAATCTACTACAAAGCCATAGTAACCAAAACAGAATGGTACTGGCACAAAAACAGAGGCAAAGATCAATGGAACAGAACCGAGCACCCAGAAATAAACTCACACATCTATGGACAGCTAATTTTCAACAAGGGAGCTAAGAACATACAAAGGAGAAAGGAAAGTCTCTTCAATAAATGGTGTTGGAAAAACTGGACAGCCACATACAAAAGAACGAAAGTAGACCATTCCATCACACCATACACAAAAATTAACTGAAAATGGATTATAGACTTGAATGTAAGACCTGTAACCATTGAACTTCTAGAAGAAAACATAGGCAGTACGCTCTTCGGCATTGGTCTCACCAGCATATTTTCAGGTATCATGTCTGACTGCGCAAGGGAAACAACAGAAAAAAATAAATAAATGGGACCACATCAAACTACAAAGCTTCTGCACAGCAAGGGAAACCATCAACAAAATGAAAAGACAACCTGACAACTGGGAGAAGGTATTTGCAAACCATACATCTGATAAGGGGTTAATATCCAAAATATACAAAGAACTCATACATCTCAACAGCAAAGAACTAACAACCCAATTCAAAAATGGGCAAAAGATCTGCATAGACATTTCTTCAAAGAAGATACACAGATGGCCAACAGGCACATGAAAAGATGGTCAACATCACTAACTATCAGCGAAATGCAAATCAAAACTACAGGGAGATATCACCTCACTCCAGTCAGAATGGCTATAATTAAAAAGACAGGAAGGGCCGGCCGGTGGCATAGTGGTTAAGTGCACACGTGCTCCTTCGGTGGTCCGGGGTTCACTGGTTTGGAGCCTGGGTGTGGACATGGCACCACTTGGCACGCCATGCTATGTTAGACATCCCACATATAAAGTAAAGGAAGATGGGCACAGATGTTAGCTCAGGGCCAGTCTTTCTCAGCAAAAAGAGGAGGATTGGCAGCAGATGTTAGCTCAGGGCTAATCTTCCTCAAACAAAAAAAAACAAGACAGGAAACAAGTGTGGGAGAGGATGTGGAGAGAAGGGAACCCTCGTACACTGTGGATGGAAGTGTGAACTCATGCAGCCACTATGGAAAACAGTATGGAGAGTCCTCAAAAATTAACAATAGATCTACCATATGATCCAGCTATTCCACTGCTGGGTATTTATCCAAAGAACATGAAAACATGAATACTTAAAGATACATGCACCCCACGTTCATCACAGCCTTATTCACAATAGCCAAAGCTTGGAAGTAAGCTAGGTGCCCATCAAGGGACGAATGGATAAAGATGTGGTGTATACACAATGGAATACTACTCAGCCATAAGAAATGATGAAATCCGGCCATTTGGAACTTGAGGGTATTATGCCACGTGAAATAAGTCAGGGAGAAAGTCAAATACCATATGATCTCACTCCTAAGTAGAAGATAAAAACAATCACACACACATAGAGACAGAGATTGGATTGGTGGTTACCAGAGCGGAAAGGGGAGGGAAACAGGAGAAAGGGGTGATTAGGCTTAGGTGTGCCGTGATGACCTGTAATTAGTCTTTGGGTGGTAAACACGATGTACTCTACACAGAAATCGAAATATAACCAGGTACACCTGAAATTTAAATAATGTTATAAATCAATGTTACCGCAATAAAAAAAAAAAGGTTTGCAAACATTTACAAAGACTTTTGTTATTGCTTTTGAATGACTCCAAGTCTGTTTGCACCCCCTCCGCTGAATGCTGTGAGCGATGGGCACCCGTGGGAGACCGAGCTCCCCTCCATCCGGACTTCGGGTCTCTGGCCGCGCTGCAGGCAGGAGGGTACCAGTTACATTCAGCTCTGAGGGGCACAGACCCCTAGAAGGGAGCTGGAGGCGCAGCGGAAGGAGGCAGTCCTGCGTGGCAGGCCTCACTGCTCCTGTGGGCGCGGCCCGTGTCCTCAGGGTCTGGGGGAGCGTTCTCACGTCCATCCTACTGCCAGCCGCAGGAGGGGGACAGAACAGCAAGCAGAGCGCGCATGGGGCCACCTGAGGGAAGATCTCGGAAAGCTGGCAACACCTCTGCCTGCAGTGCAGAGGCTGCCCCGTAGGAGGGGACCCAAAGGTGCAGGCAGAGCGCCGCCTCCACTGTGGGAGCCCTGAGTTGGGGGTAGCTGGGCCCTTGCCCTGCCCCTGCTCCTGCAGATGGAAGTCAGGCCTCAAAGCTGTGAAGGACCAGACCTCGGGGAGCTGACGCATAAGGAGGCCTGCTGCGAGGCGGCAGGAGGGGGGGAGGGTGTCCCTTCAGTCATGAGAGGTAGAAGGTGCAACTGGGAGTGAGCAGGATGCAGGGGGCAGGGTCTGCCCAGGCTGGCTGGCCGGCGGGGAGCAGCTGCATTTGCTGGATCAGCTCTGAGGTTGCGTGGAGGGCGGGGAAGGCTCTCTAACTCGGGACCCTGGAGGGGGCGGGGGGATGAGGCTGCAGAAGATGCTGCGGCGGGGAAGCTGGACGGAGGTGGCTCACCCCAGCCCAGGGTGGGTATTTGAGGTAGGGGACTGGGGGGTGGGGGAGACACGCAGCACCAGTTCTGGGAGGAGGGCTTGGAGGGGTCTAGAAATATCACTGGTCCTGGTCTGGGGCAGGCTGAGCCCACACGATGGGAGGCCTGGCCCCTCCTACTCCTAGTATCCCTTCCCAGCTCCTTGTCCCCACCACACATAAGTGAGCAGCCCCACTGGCTCCACTGCTCCAGCAGGGAGTGCTGGAGGAGCAAACATAGGGAGGCCCCAATTGTGAGAGGCACTAACACCCCAAAGGAAATAATCCCTAATGGGAGACTTTAGAAACCAAGGCATAACAGAGACAGAGTAAACCAGCTTGTGTTGGGCGAAACTGCATGACAGCATTTGCAGGTGCTGGGACGAGCCAGGAGGCTGTGTGATCCACGCAGCCACACTGGTGTCTGGGAGCACACCCCACCCCTCGTTCCCCACTGCCTGAATCCCCCTCCAGGGGGCAGGATGGAGCCCACGCTGCAAACCCCCAGAGAGAACCAGAGACCAGCTGGAAACCAACATTTTATTGAGCTCTCCCCACCCCTCAGAAATCTATTCCAGCAGATTTTCTCTTTGCCACGGGCATCACAGACACGGGGGCATGACCAGCACTCCCCCCGCCCCCCACATGACCCACCACGAGAGGAAGGCTCCTTCCCGGACAGGCCGCTGCGGAGTGGGCTGGGGCCCGGGGAGCAGGCCCAGCCCGGCCTTGGCATGGGCAGTTAACCAGTAACGACCCCAGAGGTATAATGAATTCATTTCTCTTACAAAAAACAAGAAAAAACTAGTATGAAACCTCAGTAAGTGTCCCAGCACTCAGAGTTTAAATATAAAAAAGGGATCATCAGAAAACAGTTAAAAAGACAACTAAACAAACAAGGCCACCTCCAGGGTGGCGGTCAGGGGGAGGGGACCAGCCCCGCCCCCGCACTGCCCCACAGCGGCCGTCACTGGAGGAGGTGGAGCCCCCAGCCCAGCAGCAGCACCAGCAGCAGCAGCACGGACAGCGCCAGCTCGCGCCCCCGACTGGGGGACACCTGTGGGATGAAGGGGAGAGAAGTGAGGACCCCCAGCCTGGAAGAGGCTTGCTCATTCCACAGCTCGCCGTCCTGTGCGCGCTCTGTGGACATGGGATGAGCACATGTGGGTGACAGTGGGCCGGCAAAGAGCGAGTCTGGTAAAGGAAGGGAACGCAGAAGCGCCTCACTCAGAACTGGAGGGGTCTAGAACAAGGTGCCCTGAAAGATGAGCACAGGACGGGGAGGAGAGGAGAGTGGCCCTTGGGACACACAGAGGAGAGGAGGCCAGCCCACCCGGGCTGCTCGTCTGCCGGGAACTGGCACAATACGGTGGAGAGGTGTGAGGGACCATCCGCGGTGCTGGGGGGGAGGATCAGCAGTGGTCAGGGAAGCAGCTCAGGAGAAGAGGCCTCTGCCCTGGGCAGATAACCAGTCACGTCTGCCAGGTGGAGGCAGTCCTGGTACAGGCGGGAGCACGGGCACAGCTGTGGAAGCTAGCGCACGCAAGGACTCGTGCATCCTCTCTCAGTAAGCCAGCCATCTCAAACCCAAAGGCCCAGGGAACAGGCAGGAGGAGGAATGGGTGAAGCAGGCAAAAGAAGACAATAGGGATTGGTGGGGACTGTGGCAACCAGCGAGGCTGTGCCCTACGGGGCAGCTGCTCCACGGCTCCAGAGGGCTACACATGCAGGAAGGTGAGTCAAGGTCATGAAATCTCAGGCTTACCCTGTCCCTGCGGGTCAGGAAGCTCCAGAACCTTATGTTCTCCCTGAGGTTAGTGAGACCATCCATGAAACTTCTAAAAACACCCCTCAGGCCTGTCTGGTTGTAGGTGAAGGCCAAGCTATAAGACAGATGGGAGGGGGAGCAGGGCCGTTACTGCAGGAACAGGGGCAAGGACGGCCTTTGTTTTAGGTGACAACTGTGTGAACAGAGGGCCTGTCCCCTCCCCTGGGTGGCTCCACCAATGAGGGCCTCTCTCCCCGGCCATTTCTGGTCCTAAATTCATCTGATTTCCTGTTTCCTCCCCAGCCTGCCGGCCAACCCGCTGGGGGTTCGGCCTTGCGTTCTGGAGCTGGCCACGTGGAAAACGCTCCACTGCCCACAGGCCCAAAGAGGCAGGTCCAGGGGGGCGGGTGCTCACTCCAGAGCAGCTTTGTTCCAATTGTGGTCCGGGCTCCCCAAAGGAAGGCTGCCTCCCTGGGGACCAAGAGACCCCATAAACCTTCATCCTGGTCTCAAAGAGTAAGGTTTCTATGTCCCCACCCTGAGCAATTCTGTGAGGTACTGAGAACCTGCAGGGACGCTGGAAAATCATGGAAGCTGAATGTCATCAGGAGAGAGGCCTCTATGCAGATGGCCCCGCTGACGACACAGACAGCTCCGTCTGAGCTCACTCGGCATCTCCCGTCTTTTTAAGTCAGGACCATTTTGGAAAGATCCTGACTGGGCTTGCTGAGGGAAGAGCGAAAGGGGCTTGGGTTCTGCTGTGTCTGCTGCCTAGTCCAGGAAGAACGGGATGGCAGCAGGCCAGCTCCAGGGGCTGGGGCCTCCTGGGGGTGAGGGACATAAAGGTCTCAGGGCTGCCTGGAGCGGACGGAGCCATTTCCTCCCAGGGGCCCCTGTGGGCCAGGCCCGCGCTATGGAAGCCCTGGGCTGGGCAAGGGCTGGTCACCTGTACACGGCCACCCCAGGCAGCTCAGCGATGTGGGGCAGCATCCATCTCACTTCCATCTCGTCCCCGATGAAGGCCAGCCGCATGGCCACAGAGTCACGGTTGTCACTGTGGAAAGGGCACAGGGAATGAGGAGTGTGGTTGTGCTGGTGACCCCACGCCCAGACCCACCTGGCCAATTGGGCCACAGGTTTGTGGGGTCCACGGGCGGCACAGAGTGAGGCGAGGGGCAGGGAGCCTTCGCACACCCCTCCACTGGTTCCCACTTTGCTTCAGCAAAAGCCAGCGAGGTCCCGCCCACAGGTGGACTCCCTCAAGTGTGGGCCCCAGATGCCAGGGAGGGGCTGCCCAGTGCAGCCGGGGTCAGTCCTTCTTGCGGAGGGGGTGCTTCTCAGTTTGGTCTGAGCCCCCATGGGGGTGGGAGCGCCCGTGTGCACAGCGGCTCAGCCTCCCCCTGCAGCCCTGCTCCCCCTCCAAGGTAGGCGGATGCCCTGGAGGCCACCTGGGTGGCACGGTGGGCTTGGTGGCAAGGGTGGGCAACAGGCTGGGTAGGTTGGGGGCTCTGAGGCCCCTCAGATCACTCAGGCTGGCTTCTCACAGGGGTCTCAACTTACCCCTCTCCTTGTGGGGAGGGGCTCTGGGAACTGTTCCCTGGTCCCCGATCCTGAAACCACCTCTGCTGTCATCACCCCTGTGAGAACGGAGGGGCCTAGGCCCCCCCTCGCACTGAACGCATGCTGGCTGGAAATGGAGGCTCACACGCTCCCAGCCAACCTCCAGGTCCCACACTCGCCCTCCCCTCCGGGCGTCTGAGCGGCTTCGGCCCTGCCTGCTCGCAGGGGTTTGCCCACACATTCCATCTCGGTGACCTGGCAGCTCTTCTGGAAATTCCCAGGCAGACAGGCCTCCCGGGGGCCAAGGACTCAGGGCCCCTCCCAGCCCTGCCCCGGCTACCTGCCCAGTCTCCCCAGGGTCTGTGCTCTCTCTATTCCAGGGGCACTGGGGGGACAGGATGGCGGGGTGGGAAGGGTTGACTGGCAATCAGGGTGGTGGGCTGAGGTCCCATCTCTACCCTGACACCCTTGGGACCTCAGGAAAACACTGCCTCAGGCTGAACATTCCCTGTTGTCATCTACAAATGGAGCAGGGAGTGGGGAAGAGGCAGATCTTGGGGTCCCTCCAGCCCTAAAATCTCAACCAACCCCAAACCCCACATCCAGGACCTAATGACTAAGAGAATCCTCAGGCTGAAGCAGGAGAGAAGCGTCTCGAACCCTGGAGTGGATGCTGGGAAGACCCCCTCTTCACTGCCCTGCCAGCCAGGGCCAGGAACCGCATCTGAAGCAGCTGCTCAGGCTACTTCCGGTTTTCTAAAACTGGATCCATCTTGAGAGGCCTTGAGGAGGTAGGTGATCGTGGACACGAGGGCCAGGAGGCACCCTGTCCTACGGCCACAAGCTTGAGCCATTTTGACGGCCAGCACCCAAGGTCCATCCTGGGACTGTGAACATGCCGGATGCCCCAAGGGGCCCCCCGTGAGCTGGTATCAGAGCAAAGCGGCCCAGCCCAGGTCACCTGCCCCCATGACCATGCCTGGGGAACCCAGAGGGCCTCTCTCCTAACCACCTGGTAAAGGTCACTGACCAGGAACGGGCATGGGCGTGGGCGGGGCCGTGAGGGCTGCTGGGACCTACCTGTCGGGGGAGGACTCTGTGAGCTCGGTCATGCCAGGAACCTCCAGGGCTTCCGGGCTGCGCTCGTGCAGGAAGGCGTCCAGAAAGAGGTCCCTGGAGACGGGTCCTACTTGAGACATTTCTTCTCTGGGGGAAAACGACACATGCTGACCGGATGCCCAGAACTATGCAACCTGGGTTTCACTCATGTGTCCCCTTCACCTCTGCCCCCAGCCCACTCTCTCTCTGCCAATGCCATCGTCAGCCTCCTCCTACCCCAGCTTCCCCAAGCACGACCCCTGCCCAGCGCTCACTGTGTGGCTCTGGGCAAGACACCAAGCCTCTCTGTTCTCTGTCATACGTCTCTAAGTCAGGGATTTAGAGATGATTCATAAGGGCCCTTGCCTAGAGAATAAATATAAGGAAGCTCTAATACTGGCCTTTAGGAGGCCAGTAATCAAACTAAAAAACCCAAACGTCTGGTGTCAAAATAGTAGATGAAGGCCAGGTTCCACCAGGAGAGCAAGTTCCCTGGGTCTGCCCGGCCACAGAGCCTTCTTTCGACGTCTGCCATCTCCCTTGGGCAGAAACAGCAAATAAGCCAAACGAGGAAAAGTCAGCCACCATCCCAGTCCCCAGAGGGACCACGCTAACCTTCCAGTCTTTTTTCTAGACACACACATGCATCACACACGCATTTTCAAAGATGGGAGCACTCCTTACATAGAGTTTTATAAGCCCCATTCTTCACCCGACTGTCTTGGCAAGGCTGTTATTTACCTTATTTACCCCGGGGCTCCTTGCTAATAGAACTAATTTTCTTTGAGGTGGCCTTGAATCCTTGTTCTTCTATGCCAATCGTGACCCTCCTGTTCCTCACTTGCCCAGCCTGCCATGCAGCTAGTGGTGGGCATATAACCCAGTCCTGGTCAGTGAGGCCTCAGAATTCTGCTGTGGGGACTGAAAGGGAGCAGACACAGCCTGGGCGGCTCTTCTCCCTCCTTGCTGCCTTCAACACAGGAGTGAAGGCTGGAACTACAGCAGCCATTTTATGACACCGAGGTGTTTAGCACAAGGATAACCAACACGCTAAGACTACAGAGCAGAGAGGCAGAGAGCTTGGCTCTCTGATGGCATTGTTGAACAACCAAAAAAATACAAGCCACTGCCTGCCTAACTGCGTAACAAAAATAAAACCCGACTTGTTCAAATCACCATCCAGGTCCTCCTAACGATTATAACTGGGAATCTCACATCAGTCAATGTTCCCATCACCACTTGTGAAAGCTGGTGGGATTCTGTGACCTTGTTCACTGTAATTTACCCCACACTGGACCAAACAGCCTTAGGTACAGAATACGATGATGAAGAACGCGGCTCTGAAACCAGAGGGCCTGAGTTCGAATCCCAGGTCTGCCGCTTAGCAGCTGCGTGACGCCGCCGCTTTCTCATCTTTCGGGTATCAGCAGTCCCGACTTGGCTGTTGGGGATGAAATGCAGGGATCTCCTTCAAGTACTCTGAGCGGAGCCTGGAACTCTGAGGAGCAGGCACTGACTGTTACGACCTTTGCACTTCAACGTCTAATTCTTACAACGACATCTCAGGTTTTCAAAAATTTCTAATTCCTCACATCTGCCTGCAGTGAACCAAGAAGGGCCAGAGCCGCTGGTCCCCGGGGTGCCCAGGCCAGGGTGGACCAACGTTTATCCCTGAAGGGGGCCGACTGCAGGCAGGACGCACACGGGTGCGCTGTGGGGACACAAGGCTGGACAGGAGTGTGCTCACCACCTGTTTTCAGCATTAAAGGGTGACGGCGGGCACACGAGGACCAGGCAAGGGCTCATGGGAACACAGAGGTAAATGCTGGATCCTCCCGGTGTCTCGGGGCAAGTCTGGACCGGTTATTCTCAACAATGCATCCAAAACGCAGGCAGAGCGATGGACGCGCCGTGACGTCATCGAGGGCCAGACAGGTATGTGAGGGTCTGGGCACTGCGGCCTTTGCGACAAGAACCCATATAAGGACAGTATTGTTCCAGAGAGAACAAATGCCCAGAATTTGCCTCAAAGAGAGAGGGCTGTTTCGGTTTCCTAAGCGGGAAAGAGAAGAGTTTTACATCTGTTCCAGATGAAAGCCCGACGTGAAAGGCAGCTCCAGCAGGAGCCGGGGCTGGAGGAGCAGCCGTGTAAACACAGCCACAATGGCCACAAAAGCCACAGCTGACATATGCCACCCGCACCTGTCAGGAGCACCTTCCCCCATGGGCTGAAAGGAGCTGTCAGGTCAGACCCGGTGGGTGGGGGGAGGGTGGCCCCCGGCCCCCAGGGGGGTGCTGTCACCTGCCGAGGGCACCTGCAGGCAAAGTGTAAGAAGCACGCAGGCCGGAGACCCAGCGACTCCCCTCATGAGGCCAGCGCAGGCCCCGGCTGGGCGCACACATCTTCACGCCTTTGTTCCAGGGGACGCCCAGTAGCAGGTAAAAGCTATGAGGGGAATCCAGAGCCACCGGTGATGCAGCTGTTCGACAAGACTTTAGAAGAAGGCAGATCACAAAACTAGTGTGGTTTGAAGCCACTTTCGTAGCCAGAGTTGAGTTTCACCCGTTTGCCTTTAAATCGAATGTTGTTGAAACGGGCAAACATGGGTCCTGGGGCCCCGACCTCGAGCCTGAGGCCCCTCGGCACTCACACCATCAGCAGAGTCTGACTTCCTCAATTGTGCTTGTTTTAAACAGACAAAGGAGAAGGGGGGTGGGGGGGCTGGACGACAGGGGGTCTAACACAAAAGGCAAGAGGACTTCAATGGACTTGACTTAGACATAAATGGAGAAAAATATAAACGAGTCTTAGCAAGTTAGAGGAAACCTCTAAACGAGTAAGACATGGACAACATTCCAACCAGCAGAAAAGGATCTGATCATTTCAATAAAAGACAGAAAAGGGAAGATTTCAGCAGATAGGAACATCGAAGTGGAAAACCAAGGGAATCGCCTTCTGGAGCTCCCAGATACAAGACCGGCGTACAAAAATCAACAGCCTCCCTACAAGGCAACCAGGAAATATAGTAGAAACTAAATACACATTAAGGTTTTGGGTTAGGAATGAATCTAATAAAGGATGCTTAAAATCTTTAGGAAGAAAAATTTAAACGTCCATTAAAGGACATAAAAGAGCTATCTGGCAACAACTTTCACGGATGAGATGGTTTAACAGTGCACAGACGGTAAACAGTGTGTGTGTGTGTGTGTGTGTGTGTCTGTGTGTCTGTGTGTCTGTGGTGGCGCCTAAGGGACTGTGATGAGGAGCTGAGCTGCCCCAGGCTCTAGGCCCCAGGGGCTCAGTGTCTATGCAAATGGCCATTTCCCAGGGAGAGCAACGCCAGCCCTCATTTGCGTCTGCCTCTCCTGCTCCCCCTTCCCATCCAGCCTGACCCCCTCCCGCAGGGGGCTATTCTCTCCCCAGAGGCTGCTGTGTGCTCCTGTGGAAGCCCCTGCTTCCCCCACAGGCAAGGGGCCACAAAGGGACTTTGCTGGGCACATGGCCTCTAAGCATCACCACTGTCCCAACAAATCGGCCCCCAGCAGACACTCTCAGAACCCTTGGGCACCAAATGGGATGAGGGGCCCCTGAGTCCTATGCGGGCAGGTGCCTGACCAGGGACAGTGACCACCGGCAGCTTGGCCAGGCTAGGGTAGAGGCCGGAGTGCATCTGACCAGCTCCAGGGGTGGGTGAGCCGTGCCGTGAGGTGGTACCAGACTCAACTGCTGGGAGCAGGGCCCACGTCGGCACCTTCCCGTGGGTCCCAGCCCCTGCTGGACCTCCCTGTCTGCGCCGGCCTGGGACAGACACCAGCGTCTCCTGCATCTCCAGGTTCACGGTCGCTCGTCTGAGCCAGGTTTCCAGCACTGACACTCCATCAGGGCAGGGGAGTCTCGGGTTAACATCCCACCCAACCACTCACTTGTGGCACAACCCTGGGCAAGGTACTGTTGCCTCATCTGTTAGATGGTGATGATGCGCCTGCACTCACGGGGTTCCTTTTCTACGCAAGAACCAGCATTAACGGCCTGTTACAATCCTGGCCGCTGTTCGAGCATCCACTGTGGTCAGGCACTGATTTAAGCCCTGTATACGGATTCTCACTCAACGCTCACAGCCAGGCCTGCGCTGGCCTTGGGGCTCTAGATCTAAATGGGAGCACTCAGAGCGTGGCTGGGAAGCTGGGGTTGGTGTCCCTGCAGCCGCCTCCCAGCTCGGGTCCCTCCCAGCTGCCCCACCACCCTATGGAGGCCCAGCGCTGGTCCCCTCCTGCCCAGCCCCGCTCCAGCTGCCTTGCTGTCTCTGGTCTCCAGCTGGGCTTTCTCCCATCTGATATCCACGTGGCAGCCTCAGATCGGACCCGTCACCACTCCACTAGGCTCCCCCAGCCCCTCGGGAGTCCTGCCACACCACTATCAGGGCCCTTCTCCCTCCGGCCACCTCACCAGCCTCAGCCCCGAAACCCTAATCTCACACCCTGTTCCCGCCACACTAAAGAACGCGCACTTCTGTAGCCACGCCCCGACATGTCAAGCCCCCAAGCCTTTGCATGGGCAGTGCCCGCTGGCTGGCCAGCCTCAGTCTCCTCTGCCTGGCTCATTCCTACTGGGCCCTAAATAACTTGTGTCTAGCATCACCTTCCCAGATCCTCCGAGTCAGGCTGGGGGCCTCCTGCAGCCCCCGTCTCTGCTTCTTTCTGTATCCAACCACACGGGCCGGAGCTGCTTCTCCGTCCACGGTGGCTTACAGCGTGAACGCTGGAGCCAGGCTGTTGGGTGTCCTCCAGCAAGTTAAGCTCTCTGCTCCTCAGGATTCCTCACTTCTAAAAGAGGGTACCAGTCACACCTACTTCCCAGGGCTGTGGTGAGGACAGACGGACAGGATCTGTGTTAAGGTGAGCGCTAGCAGCACAGGCGCGGCCATTCCCGGCTCCCGGCACCCAGCGCAGAGCAGACGCCCAGTTCTGAGGTCGCCGCAGCTGCACATCCAGGAGCCCACACTGGTTTTAACATCTATTTTTTCCAGCAGATTTGCAAACCAGTAGCTTAAAAGCCTTCTTTGGTGAAAGGAAGGCACACCTCGCCATGTGTCCCCACCCAGGCGGCGGCCCACACACTCACCCTCCCACACGCTCAGTGGAAAAACGAGGCCGGAACCCTCTGTTCCCCACAGAGGCCCGCATGCAAATCGCACCTCTGTGTAGACACAGCCGCCCCACCGCCACGAGGACGCCTGCGGGTCTTGGGAGAGCGGGAGGGCGGGCTCTACACGGACAGCCTGCTTTCGGGGAACAGCTCTGCCCTCAGCTGTGTGAGCACCAGCTCCTGGCCGAAACTCGGTTTCCTTATCTGGGAAAGGGGGAAATGCCATCTCCCTCCCAGGGTTGCATCACAGCCTGAATGAACAGAGATGTGTCCAGGACAGCACAGCACAGGAGATGTTCAGCAAAAGACAACATGGCCAAGGCTGTAGGAACTGGCGGGGAGGGGGCGGCAGGCAACCTCCTGGTGAGGGACCCTCAGACCAAGGCGGGACTCTAACAAGTTCTATTTCACAGACGGGCAAACAGGTGCAGAGGGCGGAGGGACCAGACGGGTCACTGGGAGGCTCAGCTGAGAAAGATGATGCTCCTTCCAAGGGGCCAGTTTCACAGGACGTGCCCCTCCCACACACACACTGGGATGGAAACAGCTGGCCCCTCCTTGGAGGAGGGACCCTTAGTCTCCCCAAGCCCAGCCCTGCCCGCTCCCTTTCCTGCTCCCAGCCTTGCCACATGTCCCTACGTGCCCTGCAGCAAATCAGGAGCATGTGATGACACCTTTGGGACTCCAACAAAGCCAAGAGGTCACTGGAGTCCCAGGTGCCAGGCCAGTGGCTGCTGGGCAGACCCAACTGGGAAACCCTAGTCCCTAATCTTTTTTTTTTTTTTCTGAAGAAGATTGGCCCTGAGCTAACATCTATTGCCAATCTTTCTCTTTATTTTCCCTCCCCAAAGCCCCAGTACGTAGTTGTTTATCCTAGTTGTAGCTCATTCTAGCTCTTCTATATGGGACGCTGCCACAGCATGGCTTGACGAGCAGCGTGTAGGTCTGCGCCTGGGATCAGAACCACCAAACCCTGGGCCACGGAAGTGGAGCACACAAAATTAACCACTCGGCCACGGGACCCACCCCCCCAGTCTTTCTCCATCAGGGCTTCCCACCCACACCCCTCCCAGTCACCAGCTCTTCCCCACCCATGACGGGGTGATACCCTGGTTTACAGAGCACCCAGTGCTCAAAGCATCGGGCGCACACACAAGCTCTAACTCTGTGGGACAGACCTGGGTTCCAGTCCCCGCTCTGCCACTGCTTTGTGACCTGGACCAATCACCTAACCTCTAGCTCAGAGCAGCCTCCCGCGTGGTAGGAGCACAACCTCCAGGGCTGGGAAGATAAAAAGATACAACTGTTGCCCTTCTCCCAGCAGGTAGCAGGGGCTCCCAAGCTGGTTAACCAGTCAACAGACCAGAGGGGAGGGGGGCACAGCTGGGGTATCTACCAAAGTCACTAATACACACAACCTCTGATTTCTAGCCATGTGTCCTGCAGACACCCCTGCACGTCCCTGGCAGCCCCGAAGAAGGGAAGCAGCGGGTCTGTAGGCGCCGCACACCAGACTCCACCAACACGGCAGGAGGAACGGTCTCTAACTGTGCTGCCCCGCGTGTACAAATAAACGACACAAACACTTCTATCCCGCAGAGATCATCTCCTGCAGGAGAAAGAGGGGAAGGGGGGGCTCCGGGACAGAGGTGGGAGGGAGACAATTTTTACTATATACACACTTCTGTGCTCTTGAACTTTCATTACCAGGCATGTGCTGAGATCACTGATACAAAGAATAATTGTTTCAAGTTACTAGCTTGAATGTGTCCACATGGAGATGTTTACCTTAAAGGTCTATTTCAGGAATCAAGTCCCCAACCCCGCTGAGCCCCCAACCCCAGCAGCCACCTCCTCCCACTCCCTCCCCAGCGCCCAGGGGTGGGGGAAGTCCAGACCCCCACCTGCCATTGTGAACCTGCAGATGCCCGAAACAGCTTGCCTTGCCGGAGGTGGGCCGGGCTCACTTCCCTTAAGTGATGGAGAAATAACTGGGGGGAAAAAAGACAAGGAGGGAGAGAAAGGAGGGAGAGAAAAGTGAGGAGAAAGGTATTTCAAGCAAAAGGCAAGTTGGAAATTCACCCGTGGGAGTAGGTGGGAGTTGTTCAGTAATTTTGAAAGTGGCAGCTTGGAATGGACCCCCTGAGTGAGGGCCATCCAGACTTGGGACTCCACCTGCACCGTGGCCCTCCCCTTTGACCCCGGCACAGGTGCTGGCCTGATCCACCCTGAACTCAGGTGCCAAAAAGCCATCCACCGGGGTGGGGTGGGTGGGGGTAAGCAGTCCAGTCTCGGCTGGGCTTCCGGCTGCTGTGGCCTCAGGCAAGGGCCGCCCTCTCCACCCACTGCTTAATGCTCTTGGCGGCCCCACATCCTTTTTATTTGCATCCACTGAGCCCCTCCCTCCCTCAGAAGGAGGGGACTGTTTGCCCCATTTCACAGATGCGGGACCTGGGAGGGTTGAGAATGGAAATTCAGAGCCCCTTCCCCATACCATCACGCTACCCACCTCCAGACTCTAAAAACGTACACACCCACCTAGCAACGCAGGTGGACAGACGCGGAAAAAATAAGGCAGGCAGCCTTGACAATTCCCAAAGGTCTCTTTCTGGGACTAGAAATGCCAAATGGTTTTCACTGAACTCAACAGGACGGCACATGCTGGGGCCCTGCATGCGGGGCACAGCAAGGGCTCGACCATCAGGCACGGTCCATGTTTGCACGGCGCCCTCTGAGTGCAGGAGCCGAGAGGCAGCTGTGGGTGTGGGTGGACGCATCAGGCACGTCACCCCACGGGAGGGCGGAACATCCTCCCCGATTTACAGATGAGGAAACTGAGGTTAAAGACAGTGAAGGGCTTGTCACACACCCAAGGGGAGGCACTACGGTAAGCTGGGCCTCCCACTCTGGGGACAGACTTTCTTGGCCACCACAGCTTAGGGCAAAGTTTGGCAGGAACTGCTCAGGCCTGACTCGGCTCCAGGTCCCCGGGCCTCGCCCTGGCCCGGCTCAGCACGCTTGGGAACGTGAGCAGAAAGAATGATGCAAACCCAGGGCCCCTTTTCCTCCCAAATCCACACTTGGGCAGGCTGGCCACGGCAAAAAAGGAAGGAGGTGGGTCTGTGTGTAGCGACAGGGGAAGCCGCCACAGTTGGCAGCTGAGTGACAGACAGGAGCACGATGATATGACGTGATCTATGCAAACGTTTCCATTTCAGTGGCTACAGACACTAAACATGAATGGAAACGCTGCGCTCAGGGCACTCGGCTGGTGGCAGGCCTGGGTTCCAGGTCGGCTCGGCCGGGTGACTTTTGAGAAAGTCCTCAGCCCCTCTGGACCCCTAATTCCTTGTTTGTAAAAGCAGCGTTGGGAGATTTTCTTTTATGTCCTTTCCTGCTCCAATATCTACGAAAACACTCCACACGGGAGAGGAAGTGAAACAGACTAAGAACTCTCTTGACCACTGACTTTAAAATTGGCTTTAAAGCGGTTTGCTGTAGTCTGAATGTGTGTGTCCCCCAAATTCATATGTTGGAAACCGACTGCCCTGGGGTGATGGTACCAGGAGGCGGGGCCTGAGGAGGCGGTCAGATCCCACGGCTCTGCTAAAAGGATCAGTGCTTGCCTAAGGGGCCCAGGAGAGCTCCCTGCCCGTCCCCCATGCCCGTCCCCCACTCGAGGACACAGGGAGCCTGTGGCACCCTGACCTTGGACTTCCGGTGTCCAGAACTGTGAGGAATAAAAAACTTCCGTGCTGTGAGCCGCCCAGTGTGTGGTATTCTGTTCTGCTACACGGTTCAACGACGCGAACGGAAAACAGGTGGGGACACGGGACAAGGAAAACCTGGAAGGGCACATCCTGCGAGTCGTAGGGAATCATCACCCAAATCTTTGCTGACACCCAAAAGGGGACCCAAGGGGACCCCTGTGCTTTCCCATCACCATCGGAAAGAACAGGGCGCCAAGGCACCACCCGGGTCTGCAGTTTTTAAGTCTAAAAAGCATGTATTTAAAATAAGCTCTTAATAAGTATTTGAAGTAAGTGAAGGACCGTGACTTGTGGGGCGCAAACACTGAGCGGACCAGAGAGACACGTGGCCCTTGGGGCCCCCTTCCTTCCAGACAGTTTTGGGTCTCCCCTCAGTGCTCTCAGAGGGGTCTCACTCACTCACCGGCCCGACACGCCCTCTGGGCAACAGCCTTAGGAGCTCCCATTTCCTCCATGTGACAAAGTCCTCAGGCCCCCACTGTGCCAACACTGAACCCTGACTTTACACTATCCCTCTGCCTCGCCCAGGCTGGCCCAGGGGACCTGCTTCTTCCTTCAAGCCCAGCCCAGAACCCACTCCTCCCGATCTCCCCGGGACAGAATTAACGGCTCCTCATCTGCACTGTCCCGGCACCTCAGGTAAACAGACCTGGACTGGGCACTGAGCCCATCACAGTCTCATTAAATGTTTACCTGTCTGTCTGCCCCAGCTCAGA